AGTTCCGCCCCTGTATCGCGTGGCCCCTTGCTCCGCCCAGTTACGCACGAGCGTACTCCACGCCGCGTAGTAGCGTGGGGAGGGGAGGGTTAGAATGGTGGCATGTGTAGAGGCTAGAACCGGTTTCCACCGCCATGCCACCGCCCAGTGACATGGAGTGGGGTCAGTGACCAGGGCGCAAGGAAAGGTCAAAGGTCAGCTATAACGTAGAACTTTGTGTCTCCCTCCCCTCCGCGTGTAACGACCGCACGACAGCGGCCGGCCGCCGATCAGGCTTGACATGTCAAGGTCACCCGCAGTCAACGGGCTCAGAGGGTTGGTCGAGTGCGCGTCCGTGGCTGACGACAGTCTCGACCATGTGCTATGGTGCCGATAGACTACCGCGGGTAATAAGTTTTTGTTCAGTGCATATGGCTGCCGGGGTGTGTCATCTTGATATGATGCTTTGTAACATGTATGATACGCTTAAAACCTCGCTGGCAGTGGCCGAGAGGAGAGGGGGGGGGGGGGGGGCGGGGAGGCGGGTGCCGCCTCCACATGTTTATTTTTGTTGATAGCTACGAGAGGTGAAATTTGGCAAGCCTGACCTTTGATTCAAGCTGAATTTTTATGACAGCAGCTGTATTTTCACCCTCGCCCATATTGGTGTTTTGCCAGCGTCTATCGTAAAGGGGGGAGGAGGGTCCGTTGGACCCCTTTGCCGTTCAGCCCCTAATCGAGCTAGAGCTTCGCGGAAAAAGAGCGTGTTGCCCGTGACGAGAGGAGGCCGATGATACCAACTTTTAAGGTCCTAGGTCATTGGTTGGCAGGTCAATATAGCTCAAAAGTCGGGGAATCGGGACCTGTTAGAGCTTCGTAAAGTGAAGCTGTTATAGGGTTTTGCGGGGTGCTGATCACGAAATTCAAGTTATTTTTATCACAGATGATGTTTTCGTGCATTTAGGCCAGGGCGGGTCAGATCAGGTCAGGTCACATGTTAGGTACGAGGGAACCAAAACTACTTCTTAAATGTTCAAACGGTTTCTAAATGCGAAATCAACTCCAAAATCTACCCTAGAAACATGTAGAACTCGAAAGAGTGAACAAAGGTCATCAAAGGTCAGTGACCTGACTGACCTTCACGTGACCTTGATACCCACTAGAATCCATGGGATCAACATCCTTTCACATGTTCGATCACTTAAAGCCACAAAAAGACAATAAAACGCGCTCTACTCGAAATACGCCAAAACGCGATTCCGGCCAAACATGGTCTCGGAAAACAGGTCACAAGTCAAAGGTCTTTTGAGTCAGGGTCATGCAAATTATAGGGTAGCCGGTAGGCGTAATATTGATTAACTCGAGGGTACTGAAATTTTCGTCGCAATCAGCCGCTTTTTGCGCGAGTTATTTGCGAAAAACTGAGGGTAGGAGGTCTGTTCGACACCCTCCTTCAAGTGCGAAGGTTAGGGTCAGGCCGTTGACCAATGACGTCAAAAGTGAACCTCTGCAAGGTCCGAAAATGTCGCGACGTCGCAGCACCCTTCGTGCCAGGGGACTTTTCAACGGGGAATGAAGCTCATATGATCTAGTACTATCTCCCAGAGGCCTCACAACTTGTATCTAGCTACCTCGTATTTTTCTTAAGAGTCACCTGAAGTCAGGTCGGTCACGCAGCCTCACGATCAATTGGGAAATATGAAAACTGTTATTTTGGTGCCGGGAGCCTCTATCTAAGCTGTCTAAAGCTATCTATCTAAGCTGTCTCAAGCGCATGAATTCGCGATTTTATACAATCTTTGCAAGCCCCAGCATTCACTTTTCCATTCTTAAAGTTTGGCGACTTCATTTATGACGTCACTAAGGTCACAGGAGATTTCACCAAAAAGTCCCGAACAAATTGAGCTAGCGAGTCGGGAAGCCACCAGTGGACTTGTAAGGACCTACCGAATCGAAGAAGCGATATGACCTCCTTGAGCCAGCCTCGTGGCCTGCCTGAGTGGCTCTGCCCTGACGTGACCTGAAGTAAACACCTTAAATTGACCTCAACAAAAACAAAGCGTATACTATTCGACGCGCTTGAGCATGCAAAACTCGATGGTGCCATTATCTTGGCTCTGTAACCACCTATGGTGAAGTTGTTTACCAAAAACCGATCCCGCGACTTGGAGCACTTATACTGACCTCAGAGTTTATCGGTGGACCTGAGACATTCAACTCGGGTACCAGTTGCTGCATCTCATACGACGCACGCGCTCAGTTTCATCCGCAAGGCGCTAGCTCAATTAGGGGCAAAAAGACGGAGAGGGGTCGTAATCCCCCCCCCTCGGCCGGGGTATATGCAGAAAACCCAAAATTCCGTTGAGGGTTAAGCACTGAAGTGATATATTATGATGCGAGAAGGTATAGGTCAAAACAAGTATGCACACGAGCGGATGTGAATAAAACTGTGTTTGAGGTATGCCTTTTATTATACATTCGATTTGCTTTAGTTATTGGTAAGAACAGATACAACCAAGAAGAGCGCCCCTGAAGAAAAGGTGGCGCAACGGACGGGTGCAATTTTAAGGTCTAAGGTCAGTCGGGGACCTCTAAGTTCGGATTAAGCGCTGCATATTAGGGTTACAAAAAATGGGGGCAAAAAACATCCCGATTTTGGCAGCATCGTCATGCTTTGTCACGGCACTCATCCACTCCCTCGGCCGAAATATTAGCTCCTTTTTGTATGAGTTCTGGCATAATCCCGCACATTATGCTGCATGTTGTTTGCCATGAAAACAAGCATGTTCAGCTACGTTCTACGCAGTACGCACTAACCTAACCACCATCCCATCATCCACCACTAGCCACCATCCCGTTCTGTGATCCCTTCCACCCCACACGAATCAGCCGAGATACTAGTCAGTCGGGCTAGCGCTATCCTCCCCTCCCTTCCTGACTGCACAGCGCTAAAACCCAGAGCCGAGACTTCCCGAGCGCGACCTCTGACCCCACGCGGTCCGAAGGGTCGGCCGATGCCTAAGGGCGCGCCGCGCGCCGGCCACCCGGATAGCCTCTGCCGAGTCTCCCTTCCATACACCGTTTACTACGCGCTCGATTCATTCATGATTCTGTGTTTCCGCGTCCCTCTCGCTAGGTGGCACCATGGATGTCATAGGCGATCCCAGGAAGATTGCGGCCAGAATACCCCAAACGGCAGAAAATGAGGTTTTTGGTGGATATCTCGGAAAGTATTTGGCATACAACGATGCAATTTCACAGCCTCGTGGTAAATGTGCATACACATAATTCGGGTTGATACTTATGCATTTGAACATTATATAGGACCAGATATGTCCGAAAAAGCAAAACCAACAAGACTTTTACTGGAGAACCGTACCTAAATAATCATTCAACATAGGTACCTATGGTTAATTCAACATAGGTACCTTTAATTTGTTTTCAGAATAGAATAGAGGTTACGGATTTAGGACGGTCAACAAAGGACCCGTAGGAATCCGGTCATTTGCTTCTCCCTTACGTCAACCATGTAGCTCTCTAGCGGGCGTCTGTGTGTTTTTAAAATGCGTCTGTATTTTACACTGACATACAAGCTCCATATACCTTTACACGGATACCAAAGAGGATGTAGCTGAAAAATGTCAATTTTCACATTGTTTCTTGCTAGAAAAAAAAAAATATGGCAGGACAAAATAAAATGATTAAACGGCTCGCTGGTAAAACATTTGTGTAACGTCTCGTCTAACAGCTCTGCGCCTCAGTTCGTCTGTTCTTTCTCTACACCGCGCTCAACGCCAAGCAGTTTGGCGACTCTACACGTTAAACAAAATTGTTCTACGTGCTTGCAATTTGATATACCGTATACCGTATTTACATAAGGTTTCTTTTTCACTTAGCAATTAGAAAACACGGAAGGATCGCATTTCATGACGTGACCTCTTGCATCACAGTGTTTTCCTCATTCGTAGATTCATTAGCTACATACGTAATTCGTGCTTACGCACCTAATTAAGCTCTTATTGCCACTTAATCGCAAATTAAAGAAGTAACATTATGTGATCGGTTCCGGGTTGAACAATACGTAACTGAAACTCAGAATTAGTCGGAATGTGCGTGAATTTAATTACTTTCTAGAATGCGAACGTCATTAATTAGTGCTTCAGTTTCATTAACTAACTAATTTATTGCTTGATACAATAACTTCAGTTATTTATTCGAATATATTAATTCGCATTACGTTCTTCATATGTTATCATTTCGACGAGCTCAAGCAAAATGTCGGTTATGTTTTAGTCGGCATTGCTCTTTTAAAGGGACTATCCCACCTTCTAAAATGTTGTTAAAACCAGTTAAATTGTGCCCGACTTTATAGATTGGATGACCAGGAACACGGTTCTGGCATTTATTTTTCATTAAACATCTTAGGCTTCCCATATTCCAAACACAAACTTTCAAATATGTGACGTCACAGCCCAAAATTACCTCCTTCCCCAGGCCACATTACTGTCATAAAGCTGATTCTTTTTACTCTGTAGGCACCACAACAAAGTTCAGACCAAGTTTTAAGCGATTTTTCAACGAACAAACCTATTTAAATCAGAATGACTAAACGAGGTGACGTCACACTAACGTCGCTCCATGTTGAAGATAGGGCCTTGCACAAGGCCCATTTTCAAATGAAGGGAACGAATTTCTTCAACACCAAGAGGCCGCGGGGGTTGCAACCTAGATAGATAGTGGTTTCTGAACCTCGCCACAAACTTGGCTATCTCAACTCAAACCCCATATTAAAGGTGGGATAGTCCCTTTAAAAGACGCGAAATCCGCTACAATCGTATGCGTCGACTGCAGAAGTGCAGACTCGTGAACAGTGAACGACTCCAACTCCAACTCCATTTTCTGGACTGAATTTGGCGAGAATTTTGGCGAGTGAACATTGTAATGGATCTGATATGAAAATTCTTCTCATTGTTCTTTCGGTGTATATCATCCCAAACCACTAACCTGAGATCAAAAGTAAATTGCGACAGCGTAACTATATATTGTAAATGTAGACGCGACTTGCCGATCATAGGATGAGAAATATTCTGGCTGTAGCGTAGCGCAAAATACCAGTCGCGGACATACTTCTGATAATCGAGCACTGATGATCGACCAGCGAGCTCGACCACTGATCGCTGATACACATATGACCAATGAGCTCTGACCACCGCTGACCAATGAGCTCTGACCACCGTTGACTAATAATTATAAACTTTGTGATCTCTGACCAGCGAGCTCTGATTACTGACCACTGATCTTAGCTCTCGGGACCGGCTATCGCGATCGCGAGCTTTAGTCGAGAGCCATTCAGCTTTGCCATTGACCACCGACACCTTATATGTACACAGGACACACGTCACACAGGTTAGTTTCCCTAGTCATACAAAGCGATGCAATAATCTCGAACACCGATTCAAAGACAGCGAACCTTGAGCTAAGCACCAGCGACTTCAGACCTTACAATCGTTTAGGGACCACCGTTCACAGACTAACGAGCCAATCTTTAGACCACATAACTCAGTTCATACAACGGCAACAGCGGACCAGGCACTTCGTCCGACCATGGAGCACACGAACAGACCACCGACGTCACGGCACTCCCAATAGTGCCCGCCGATATTGACCACTGACGTCACCCTCAATACCTAGTCTGCCGACATCAGGCAAATGACGTCACGCCTAGTCCACCGACACTGGGCCACTGACGTCATTCCCAGTAGTCTAACGAAGTTGTGCCAGTGGCGATTGACGTCACAGCCAGTCCACTGACATTGGGCCACTGACGTCATTCACAACATTCTGCCGAGGTTGGGCCGATGACGTCACACCCTGTCCACCGACAGTCCGCCAATATGAGGCCACTGACGTCATCATCAATAGTCTGCGGAGTGCGTGCCAGTGACGTCACTACTGGCCCACCACCGGCTCTCCCACCGGGTCTCTATTGAAGCCGGGTAGGATCTCAGCCTCAGAACCGAATTCGGGGGTCGGCGCCGGCTCCCCCATCGCTACTCCAGGCACCTCGGACATGAAAGACGAGACGAGTACGTTGAACACTGTGAGGAACACGGAGGCGATCATGCAGACGTTGTTGAGCGTCTCCGACTTCCGGAACTGGTCGGGTTTGTTGATGTTGTAGCGGACCTTGACCAGCAGCAGAACGGCAATCGTCACCTGGGTGATGAGGCTGAGCGAGATGAACACGAGGCAGACCGTATAGAACGGGGAGCTCGAGTTGCCCGTCTTGAGTAGCGTTCTCAGCTGGTCGGCGTTGGCGGAGAGCAGTGCCACGTCCATGAAACCCTGCGCCACCGACTTCTTGGTGCTGTACACGTCCGGGTCGAGGCTGTGCACGGTGCGTGGGTCGGCCACCTCCCTCCACTTGGTCCGCGGCTTCTCGGGAACCGGCTCGAACTCGGACCGACCGGGCCCTGTCGCCGGGTCGAACGTCTCCACCTCCGAGGGGTCCATCGCCGGTCCGCGGGCACGTGGCACGAAGGTCTCGGCCATCACGAGTTAGCGGAGGGGCGACTGGACTGGAGATACCTGGACGGTCCCCGTGCTGCGCCTGCAACGCGCCAGGCCGAGGTGGTGCACCGTCGAAAGTGCCGCTAGGGGCTCGTGCAACAACGAATCACGTGCGCCGCAGCGCCACACCCACCGGGCGCGAGGGCAGATCAACACTGCAAACTCCAGCTCAGAGCACAGCTATGGTGACGTCCCTATTCCTGGTATGTTTCTTGGCAGCTGCCGTAAGTTTACGGCCGGCAAAATGCCTCTGGGTGCGACCTGAAAGCGCAGCTGTCACTGTAATACGGCGCCCACTCTGGCCGCAGATGCCACTCGCACTCCGTAATGCAAGCAGATTCAAACGCGGCTGCTAGCCTGAGGGGGCGCATTCCGGTTTACGGGGAGCCGTCCCGGTCCCGGGCCCGTCAGCAAGGCCAGCTCGCTGCCGCTGAAGGGTCGCATCAGTGCTTCACTGGTAGGTGCTGACACCTGACGGGTGAACGGTCAACTAATGGTTCAGGTAGCATCCGTGTATTATGTCTCTCTTGCGTCACGGCTGTCAACCGCTCAGCTGCGCTCAGCTGTAGTTGTTTGTCTGCTGGCTGAGGGAGTTGATTGAGCTTGTTTTTATTTGGTTTTTTATGTAGAACGAGCAAGCAAGGTGAAAAGATAAACAGACATAACACTCTAGCAGGTCAGAGTTCCTTGAAGGTAAGGAGATGCGTTTATTGTCAATATTTCAACGAAGACTAAGTCAGTGGCACGAGCAGGTCTTCTGGCATTGGCATAGGTGCTTCAGCTTGGTATGGCTCATAGGGTAGTTATCTTCTTGATTTATCATCATCTTTATTTTACCATTTTGGCAGAAAGACTAGAATTCAACTTAGCTCTGAAGTATCAAACCCATAACTTACCAAAATTGAAATGAGCCATGTTTTCTGAGAATAACTAATGCATTTATATTCTGGTTATCTCAAAGCACCCCAATGCAACTATGGTTCAGATAGGAGCCTTTAGCTGACCTGCTTCTCCTTTCTGCCTGATATTGCAGGTGCACCCTGTGCTGCTGCCCTTATGAAGAAGTCTGCCTCGGCTCCACCAGTCACTGTGCGATTTCTCAACAGCTGCTCGGAAGATCCATCTGGATCAGGGGATGAAGGTAAGTCACACATATGATAATGTTCTTAGAGACCATGGGTGGCAAATTAAACTTCATTTCATGCCCATCAAGTCTAGGAAGTGTGACTGCCTACGCTCTCTTGTCACCTGGAAAATGAGGTCACCTGTATGGATGTGATGGGAGTACTGACAGAATGTTGCTGGATTTTGGTCTATGGTGCTATGGAAAAGCACTGGAAGAGGGAAAATTGGGCTTGTAGCCACTCTTGACCTTGCAGCTCTTTTAGCAGTTTCCACTATCTATGTCATTTTAGGTTTCAACTGTATTTTTCCAAATATAGTTTGATTAGAAAAGATGGACAGATAGAGAGAAGACGATCCACTCTTAACAGAGCTCATACAGTATCTGACCTCAAGTACTAGATCAGGAAATTCTGGGACCCATGGAGCCAAAGTTAAATGTGCCAGTCGCTAAGCATGCTCTGTCCCATTCACTACTATCATTTTACAATCACTATCAAGTATCAATCTTCAATAGGCTGCAGCTGCTCTAAACAATGGCCATCCACACCATGGGTTTCATATTTTTGGATGTCCGGACTCCGGGGCGATCCGAACCAGATCTCTCACGTCCGGGAATATCATGCTCTAGCTACTGAGCTACGAAAAAAGACGGAGCCGATTGCCGAATGTTGCTGCACTTGGCTTATGGCTAACCAGCCAAAGTGTTTAGTGTATGCCACTACTCACTAGTGTGCTCAGAAAGTGCTCAGTAGTATTGCAGTGACTGGGTGGCTTATTCGTACCAAGGTCGTGATAAATTACACCGCACACTGCACGGTCACTGCCGGATGGGAGTGTCTGTCCGGAAAACTGGTCCACGGCTCGCCGTCCGGTATGGGGAGCGTCACCTGCCTGACACCTGGCTTAGGTTTGGTCAGTCAGGGAAGCCGAGCTTGCCGTGTCAGTTTGGATGGGGCTGGGTAAAATCCAAGATTCTTACAGATAGTAGTATCAACGTTTTAACCCTCCCCGGCGGTGCTCTGCCATCGGAACAAAGTTGCACTCTGGATATTTCCCCAGGATAGATATCAATGATGTCGTTCAATTTCTACTCCGATGTCGACACTGATGTGTGCCAGTAAGCTATCGGTCACCGGCAGTCGCGCACTCTTATAACAATTCAGTCATCACTCATCACTAGATAGTCCACTCCACCTGAATCCGTGTGGCGCCGGCCGAGTTTTGCCGATATACGCTACTGCAGCACGGCTCGATTAATGTTCAAATATTGACGAGCGGTGGATAGGTACAGCGACGATGGAGAGGTCAGATGGGTGCGCTTAGGACTGGAGTTCTCTGTAGTTTCTGAAGGCTCCTGCCTCCTGAAGACATCGATAGTATAGTTGGTATGACGGACGAATAGGCTTCATTAATATCACCTGATCAATGCTTTCACTTCACTGACTTCTTCATCCTTGTACTGTATTTCGTAAGAAAAGCGCTGCTTCTGTCTTTTTTTGTCATAAAAAAATAAAAAATTTGAATCATCATTTGAATAAAAAATGTTTGTGGTTGTGTTGTTGCGGTGTCTATGTCAGCATTTACTAGTGCAATATAACTGTTAATTGTCCGACGGTCCGTATGTTATTGCCCATTCTTGACCCTGTGACTTATACATACTGTGACTGGGGCCCTATCGGCGGCCATTTCTGAAGTGCCGCAACCGCAGGTAATCAGAAGATGTCTGAGGTTTACGAACAACGAAAATCCAGGATTACCGATACAGGCTTAGATACAGGAGCGTGCTCTAAACGTTGCCGGCTGCATGCACTTGATTTGACCCTTAGGTGCACTTTATTTCGCAAGTAATTATGCGGTGATTGCAGTGAGCAGTGTCCATTGGTTCCGTGTAAAGTATATCAAGGTCCTCTTATGCTCGTAATACTAACCTTGGCTAATGCACACAGCACTAGTTGCGAATCCTTACCCGTCTTCCCCCATCAGCCGTTTGTTGTGGAATTGTGCTGTACTGCCACCCCGAATCAGCTGACTTGACTGCAGATATTAGACTGCCGCCTTTCCAACCACTGCAGTAGATACAAGTAACTAATTACTAACACGGCTACCCCTGGCTTTGTTGTAGGTAGTGCTCCCTTACGTCCCCTCAGGGCGTTATGTGCCGTCTACTTACAGCACGTCGTATTTAACAACCCGTGATAAACCCGATTGGAGTCGAGCTTGCCCGAAACTAACCGTTACTGACCAGTGTATGACTTTCCATGGCAGGCCAACTGGAGCTACAGATGGGTAAGCCCGATAAATGCTCAGTGTTATGTGTACCGCTGTGTTTTGCACTGGTGGGGCCGTGAACGTCAACGTTTCATAGCTCGCAAATGGTTCCGTTTTGTTCGCTTTAGCCGTTTGGCGTAAGTTTAGGTACATGATTATGAGTATGTGTTTGGAAGAATCGCTCATTGCTTTTTTATGATTTTTCTTCAAAGATATTGTTCTTCTTACAATGACTTTAAAATTTGTGCACGCCATTTTGCTTCTGTATTATGGCATGCGCATGGATAATGTGCGATGTACAGTGGGTCTATTTAAGATCTCCAGAGCCACCACGTGGCGCTACGGTCGGGGTAGGGCGAGTCCAAATCCCGAGGGAAGTCAGGTCGCCGGTCATTGTGGGGGAAGGAGGGAGGGGGAGTGACGCGGTATCACGGCGCATGGGGCGTGCGTAGCGCCGGGAGTGGGTCGTCCAGGGCCGCCCGCCACTGCGCCGAGGCTGAGGGGAGGGCATGATGGTTGCGGGTGCGTTCACTCCGGTATGGTGGTATCCTGTTCATGTGGAACCGGCAAGAATGCGACTGAAGGGAATCATTATCTCAAACAAAAGAGGCAGCGTCAGTTCCAGCCAAAATGTTGAACAATGATAATTGAAATCTAGGACGTATTCATAGCATGCAACTATTCAGTCGATAGTTGCATGATGCTTTTCATGATGCATGATGAGGCTTTTCTAAACTGTTATTTGAGTTAGATATTTTTCATTTGGCACGTTCAGTTTTGGTGGGTTTTTATCGGGTCGAAAAGAAGCAGAAAAGAAAAAAAAAAGAGTTGAAATGGCTCCAGACAAATGACCAAAAAAATTCATTAAAAAATGAAACTTAGTTAAACATTTTTAAGCAATATTTTTTACTTTTGGAGGGGATATTGGGGAAAGATGTTTGGGAAAGATGTCATCATGCTTATCTGTGTTGCAGTAGAAGGAAAGGTTTTGGTTCGTGTCTATATAAAACCAGACCCGGGAGTGGGGCTCGAACTCACGACATCGCATTCAGCTCACAGGTTACCCAACCTCAACGCTACCACGGTGACAACGCTACGAGCACCTATCGCCCTGCGCAGCTTGCTCAGTGTTTCGGCTAAACTTCGGCCAAAGTGTCTGATCAATGTCACGAGGCGAAACCCCAAGGTAAATGTTCGTCCCGGTAGCTCGGTCGGTAGAGCGTTGGACTCCATGTGCCATGTGGTGAGAGCGCACGTCCCGTTTGCAAAAGTCCGGGTTCGAAACGCGACGTGTGCTTGACGTTTTTGAGTGGCTCCTGACGGTATGGTTTTGGTTGGTGGCAGGCCGCTGCCAGGCGAAGTCAGTGAGGGGACCGGCCGTGCGCGACTATGTGCGCACGTTAAAATTTGGGCTCTAAATTCTGCCATAGACCAGGCATTGCTTGATCGGAGGGTTGAGAGCAGGGTCAACGCAACAAGCTCAGCTTAGCGGGGACTTGTCATTTGTCCTTGTGATTCCTTTCTTTCAAAAGGTTCGGGTCAAATTTATATTAAAAAAGGGGAGCCTAACCAGGTTGGGCCGGGTTGAGCCCCGGTTGGACCGGCGTCTTACACGCAATCATGGTCAGACAAAACAGAGGCTAATTTCGGGTTAAATATTTTTATTAACTGATCTTATTGTTTTTAGCTTGTATAATAACTTTCAGCTTTTTTAACCCCAGACTTCATGCACAAAAATGTGGCATTCGTCCACTTTTCCTCATCTTCTCCTAGCGGCTTGATTTGACCTTCAAGGTCCATCTTAGCAGCAAAAAAAAAAAATCACCCGCGTGATAATTATTTGCCAAAGGGCACTCTATACGCATGAAACGCCAGCCGGTCAAAAAACTGGCGAACGATACAATCTTTCTATTGCTTGAATTAAAATAATCTTAATCCTTATAGCTACTGGTCGCCCGGAGCATTCGCTAGCATTCCATTGTCAGCTGCATTACCAACATAACATTTGCATTACTTTGGATTCACCATAGTTGATAGTCATGCCTCATTATCCTTTCCTTCCAAGCAGCCAACTGCCAAGCTAACCGGCCGCCCGGCCCACCACCGCGATATGGAACAACGCTGGAGTGCGCCATTTGCCTGCGGCAGCGCCCTACCGCGCCGGGGCTGTTTGACAGGTCACCCGCACCGTGACCTCGCCACCCCCCCCCCCCCCCCCCACCTCCCCATCGGGCCCAGCTCGGTAGTGACCTCTCCTTGAATACCACATGGACTCGACTAAGGCTCAACGCCATCTAGTTGCGTCTGGAGATCCTTACTAGATCCACTGTACATGATATGTATTTGGCGTTTGCCGAAAACCTAAATTGATAAGCCCCATCCCGCACCCGGCGCTAGGACACGAGCGTTTCTTTACTGCGTGTATCTCGGCGGCTGACCCTGAACCATTTATACCAGATATAAATACCAACGGCGCATGTGACACATGGTACCTAGAGACAAATTCACTTATGAGTCAACATAGCATTATGTTGTCTGTTCTGACCAATATCAAACATCAGTTGGAAAAGTCATTTGCCGTTAAAAAACGAAAGCTGTGAAATATAGTCCGGTGCAATAGGGTTTAAAATCTAAAGGTATTTTATGCTTGCAACCACAAAGTAGTGGAGTCTTGAGGTCGTCTATATTTAAATCTGTCTGCTTAATGTTGGTGTTTTTTTTTTTTTTGCTTTAAATCGCTTGTTGATGCAATGATGCACGTTTTGTGACAATTATGCTATTCGTGTTTGTACAATTATGCTTGAAGTGATCGCCAACAAATCACGCTGAGGTGTTTAATTACGTCACATGGGCCTGTGTCACGCTGTGTCACAGGCCTGCCCTGCCGCATACACCGTGCATGAGCGTCCCCTGTGGCCTGCTATCCAGTGTCGCGTGTGGGGTTTCTTCCGGCCCAGCCGCGAATATGCCTACGTATGGCCTCCGTAACATGGAGTCGATCGCTGGGGAGGAGAAGGTGGCAACTAGCAACGCTGTCTTTTCACACCAACAGTGGCTTGTCCTTTCCACACCAACACCGGATGGACGGTCAGGGATGGCGACCTTCTATTCATATTCATTCTAGGGATGGTGACGCTTCGTACCCTCATAGACATGAGAGTACGAAGGTCAGGTAAGGTTTTGTAAAAGGTCAGGTAACGAGCGTTTGAAGCCCTTCAACAGAGGTCGACGGACATTGTATTACCCAGGGTCGGTATTGCGGTTTGTTTGGGGTCTGGTCTGACGTCTGTCGCTGCCGACAGTCTGTGGTTAATTTATGTTTGTCGCTGCCAACATTGTCGTTGGCATTGGCCTTTTGTTCCGGACATTGCGATTGGTTGGAGTGCTTTGCCGTCGCCTTTGCAATGCTGTGGACGCTGTGGTTACATAGTCTGGGCCCGTTGCAGTGCCGCGGACACTAGGGTTAGTTGTGGTCTGTCTCCGCCACCTGTGTTGCGCTGCGTGACACCGATTCGCCGGCTCAGACGTGCGACGACGTGCATGTGTGCGAGGTGCTCACTGCTCTGCACTGTGCAGTGTGTACAGAGTGAGCCACCACACATTGGGTCGACCCTGACGCTACATCGCGTATCGCTGTAAGGTCGCCGGACCTGCACATTCTCTTGTGTGTGTGTGTGTGTGCTCTGAGTATCGGACTACGTTTCGACCCACTCCACTCCGGGCATCTCATTGTCATGGTTAGTGGCTAGAGGTTGAGTTCGTGATGTGTTTCACAGCTCCTCACCTCATCCGTCCGTGATTCACGCTGTGGCGAGCGTCTGACGAAGCTTATCGACCGCCACCAACTCGTTGCGCGCACGTGTCGCTCGCCAGAGCTGAGCGCCACCCTCCCCCCCCCCCCCTGAATGGCGGACCGCCGCGCTGTTTGTCAGAGCATGCGTTGGGCAAGGTTGGCTCGGAACGTCACGGCTTCTCTGTGGCTCTGCTCGGGCCGCTGTTCCGCGCCCGTCTTTGTCTGCTAGCTACCGGTCCTGCTGTCTTTGTTTGCCTGTGGATGGGTTTGTCTGTGCCAGGTCCCGGTGAGGCCCCCATAGTTCCCGCCGGTCATCCATAGTTCCTGGTCATCTGGTGTTTCTACAGTGTTCCTCTCGTTTCTCCCTGTTGACCACATCTCGTTCCAATGTACTCGTACTATCATCTCTGCAATGCACTGTCTGATGCTAGCCTAAAACCTCTCCGCTGATATTGCCGTCAGTCCCGCGGCCCTCAACCAGCCCCATTTCCTGCCCAATCCCATCATCTCAGTCCGCTGCCGCCGCCGCTCTGTCGGAGGTGCAGAGATGGCCCGCTGTTACCAGGCCGGCGGCTGCAGCCGACTGGGTGACCTGCACCATCGATCGGGCGCTCTGCAGAGGGGCCACCGGGACGCTCCGTCGCGTCGGCGCCGTTGCGGGGGGAGGGACACCACGTGCCGCTGCCGGGGACGGCATGTCGGCGCGACGGGACCGTCAGAGCGGGCAGGGGCTGGGAGAGCACGCGGGGCGGAAATCGGCCAAGGTCCGGCGCCGTTGCTCGGCTGGCCGTCTACCATCTGGATAATGTGTGTATGTGTATGCTAGATGGCTGGGATGTGCTAGTCATTTGCTATCTTGCCCAAATGTAGGACGGGCTCGTAGTGTTTTGGAGCTGGAGCTCTAAGAACGCTGTGATACATAGTTGTGTAATAGCAAGAATTAGACGTTACTTTCTGGTTTGTTACGCAACTTTTAGATGATGCATCTGGGGTATTCTCCCCGTTTCTGTAGAAGGTAGGGATGGCGCTTAGTCGCTCCCGTGTGGCTTCCCTTCTGCTGGATTGGTAAGAATCCTTACGCTACTGAGAAGTGAGATCATCATCGGTCCATGCATTATGCATCGAGTGACGTTTCTCAAAACTGCTCTACCAATCCCTGTTTGGTGGCCATTGGAAACGCATGAGCAATTTTCATCCGGCGCAAACGCTAGCTTTCACTCTGGTCCCTCGTGTCGTATGTCAATGTTGACCGTGATTTACCACGTATTAGTGCTCTGGTGTGGAGTATGATATCGCTCGGGGTATCCCCGTTTTCCGAGAATATACCACAACATGCAGCATCATTTTATGGGGCTGCAACAGGGAGCGTGATGATGATGACCTTGGCTCTAACTTCTTAGTGACTGTGTCTGAATTGATCGGTATCTTGTCACTGCTGAAAATGTAACTACCATCGGTACCACAGTCTCTGTTCGTGATTGGCCGACCATGATCGCAAACGTTCACTACCGTGACCCGTCTCTCTTCTCGTCATTTTTGCTGAAATCAAAGTGTAAGAGACCGACCGATTGTAGCCGATAGCGGGAGTCGCTTGTCCGGTTCGATGGCGATTGTTATTCGATCTTCTGTTTGTCAGAGCAGACCACTGCTTCGCAAGCGGGGATGGGTTATTCACACAACTGAGACTCTTACCACCGTCGTGCACAGCATTTTCAGAGCTTGCGACTGTGAAACGACTGCTGGCACGTTTCTGAACGCAGAACGAGAGGCTGTGCTTTGATCTTATAAATCGTTTCTTTTTAATAAATCTATAAATATTTGTGTCATAAATGCACTGTGCTTGAGTCAATTTTTTCGGTTTATCTTTTGTTTTGTTTCTTGTTATCAAAAATCATCACAATGATTTTCTTTTGACTTATTGACATTTGTCTCCAAAGGCACCCGCGGGCGGTGCTCTGTCAACACCGCCTGGAAGTGGGCAAACACTAATGAAAACACACACTGCAAGTTGCAACTAACCACGGACCCGTGCCCTTCGTACCCTTCGTAATGACGCTAACTCTGCTCTCATGCATCTACATTCTACACTTGTTGTCATCTTGTGGGATTAAGAGTAACTTCACGATCTATGAGCTGTTGATCGTGTCTATGAGATGAGGATAAAGACACTCGTTATATGAAATCGTGCGATGACGCTTTTGTGACATCTCTGTAGCAAACCTGTAGTGTGCTGTGATTCAGAGTGTGGACTGTGGAGCCAGTCGTCAGCACAGTGCGCCGGGATCCGTCTCGTGTCTGTTAGCTTATTGATGTGGGTCGTGTAGTTGGCTGTCGGTGACTGGGTGAAGTAGGTATCGTGCTTCTTCAAATACGTCCAAAAACTTTATGTGAAACTTCAAGTGGTTTCGTCAATGCGTTGACAACAAAGACAAGAATAGTCGAATAGATGATCCGGTATTTCCAGCAATAAGTTCATTTTCCGTGTCAATGCTATTTATTCGCTCCGACATTTGACGTCTTATCGCCCAACTCTCAGGTAATGGCGTTGCAGGCCTCTGTCAAATTTTTCGGCACTTAATAGATAGAATAGAAATGATAAAATTAGACATTAAGGGTGTTTTGTTGAGTCGTTTAATGATAAATTCCGTACATTATTGCTGTTTGTCTAGAAATGATGTGGGGACAATACGCTTTCAATCGTCATCGTAAGAAATGACACGTATTTCGTCTCAGTTCTCCCCACTGAATAGACGAGATTTCTTCACCCACGTTGCTAACAAGACGCTGACGAGCCACTGACTTCCATTCAAAGCCACCAGAACTAGTCTAGTCAGTTGTCATCCTCTGTGCGCAGCACTGTGTAGTGTGTACCCTATTGGGGTCATATGCTCTCTGTACTCTCTGCTGCCCCATTTATTCGTGCACCCATCGACGCACGCGACACGCGTCTGCGTGGAGACCGTCTGACCGCCCGCCGTCGCCGCCGCCACCGCCACCGCCGCCACCGTCGGCACTGACACAGTCTGTGCTGCGCGTTTGCCCGGCGAGGGCCGGCTAGCTGCACTCCCTGGTTTGTCACAAATTGGACGGACGGGCGTGCGCTGGTGCACTGGGTGACCGAGTGGTGATTGGTGATGGTGTTTGGTGAGTGGTGACCGGGGCACGCTTCCGGTGCGCCTGTCCGTGATTGTGCTACTTTTAGTGCTGACAGCCGCCTTTTTTGCGTTTCCTGTGACGCAGGGAGCATGTCCGTGGGGATATGCGTCATGATCCTGGCATGCATGTAGCTGAGTTTCTGCATCTGTATTTACATATGCACCACTCGACTGGCAGTTGGTATGCGGCTGGCTAGTGTCTGTGACTGAAGTTGTAGTGATTTGTCGGTGTAATGGCATCAGTCAGTGTCTATGTGTGAGTGCGTAGTGCGCAGCTGACCTTTCCTGACCGTCCTCAGGGCTGGCGGGCCGCTCCGCCACCGCCGAGGACGCCTCTGGTGACGGGATGGCGCGGGTAGCACCGCCGGCCGATCCTGTCTCTGCCGCCCCCGCCGCCGCCCCCGCCGCCACGACGGACAGCCAGCCGGTTCCGCCGCCCCGGAAACATTCGGTGCGAAGCCGCGCCGATGGCCTCCGAGACGCCCTGCAGGATCTCTCCCCAGTCAAAGGTCAGTGGAGACGGCGGTGGGAAATGGGAAGTCACAGGTCATGATTCAGAGATCAGGCCACGTTGTTGTGGGTAGGTCTGAAGTCAGGGGTCTTGTTGAGTGGCTAGTAGTTTCATTTTGTCCAGTTGGACGGCGTTGGACCGATGATTCAGTGTCCGGTGATTGTTTTTGGCGTTCTTTGTCCATTTACTGTCCCCCGTGATATCCAGTGTTTACATACACTCCACACGTGGTGAGACTGACGTGTAAACGAGTTCTGTCTCCCTTCTATCGCGATGAGCGGGTTTATCCGGTTTATCTCTCAGGCTAACCGTCTTGGCGCTGTTTGCAGAGTTTGTCTCGCGCCTGGGCAAGTCTCGCTCCTCCAGTCTGGACGGCCCGGGAATGGCAGCGGCCGCGGCGGCCACCGACCGGTCTGCAGAACAAAAGGCCGCCGCCGAGCCGGACAAGTGGTCCCGGCTGACGGAGTTCACCGAGAAAATCACCAAAACCGTCGAAGGTAAGTGGATTGTTGACACGGCAGCAATGCATTTAAATTTGCTATATTAGTGTGGATGTATCCTTTGTGCTTACGACATACATATTACATACTGCACAGTGCGGAATGTAATGCAGTCCCTTTGAACTGTATGTTGGCTACACAATTCATATAGCGGAATTCGCCGCCTCAATGCCACGGTTTAATATCCTTTTCCCTCTTAAATATGTGACCAAGTCAAAAGATACAAAGCGTTTTTCCGCCGAGTAACATCAAACCCCTCATCAAACCAGACAAAGACTCCTTTGTTGTTCTGTATTCTTGCTGGGAGAAGTCGTTTGGAAGTTTCTTAATGCGCCACGCCCTAAGCATCAAATATCGTCTCAAACTACCGAAGATTGAGTTTCTAGCATCGTGTGTGGTGCTTTAGACTCAAAGTTGAATCATCACTGAAGTGTTCTTTGAACAGATTGACAAAGGTGCTCGTGAGCCGGCAGTCTTCAATAAGTTCTTTGATCTTTGCAAAATATCCTGTGGAGCTCTAATGTTCCATTATGAAAAGCAGCTTTTGCTCAGATAACGTTAACGTTAATAAATAAGATTGATGCACATTTTTTCAATAAACCGTAAGAGCTAAAGTAAATAAATGCTCAAGTTTTCAATATTATGAACCAGTTGTGTCGTTCGTAGCTTTCTTCAGCCTTGGCGTAGTTTCTAACCATGTCCTTCCGTTGTCCAGGTAAGATCAGCGACTACCGCGGCTCCGTGCGCTCGTCCACGTCTGTCGGCGGCGGCAGCAGCGGCGGCTCACACGCCGAGTTCGAGGTCCTCACGGAGTCAGACGTGCTGGAGGCAGTGCGGGAGGCGTCGCCGTCACCCCCGCCGCCCGGCTCGCCGCCGCCATCAGCTTCCTCGGAGCTGGACGTGGCGTTTGTGAACGTGCCGAATCCAGTGGCGGCGCCGGCCGCCTCACCGTCCCGTCGTGACTTCAAACTGGCCAGTATTCGTCCGCAGATCTTCGAGCGGCTTCAGAGGAGCGTGGGTCGGCCGCCGGCGACGCCCGCCTCGCCGTCCTCCGGCGGTGGCGGCCAGTCCTCCGGGACTGCGGGTCCGTCCGACAGCGTCACGCTCTCCGCTCTCCAGGGGAAGTACATTGACGAGGAGGGTGTCGATCTGGCCGAGGAAGCGGTGGAGGCGCCCCCGCCGCGGCCGCCGCCGCCGCTGCCGCCGTCCCGCCGACACAGCCGACTAGACTCTGATGGTCGTTCATCGCCGGCTCCGGCGGTCAGTCAGGAGCTCTCCGTGCTGGCCGGACCACCGCCGGACCTCTGTGACCGATTGGCGGTGGCAGTGACCGGCGGATGGCGCTGGCTGGCCGCCGTGGTGGCCGTCCTGCTGGCCGCCCCGCTGCCGGGCTTTGTGTCCGGTCTGGTGGTGGGTGTGCTGGTGACAGCGGCGGCTGCGGCCGTGCTGCTGCCTCTGCTGCGACCGCCGCCGCGCCGCCTGCCTCCGCCGCCAGCTGTCGTGCACGGTAGACCTCCGGTTAAGGAGTATCAGCCCTCGCTGATGCACAAGGTGAGCCAGGGGAGAACGGAGTAGGCCGTCCGCGGCGTGGGGAACAGATTAACTAGCGTGACTTGAATTCTTGTTTTTTGACTTTGGTTTGTTAAATACTGACACGTTGGTCAGTTACCCTCCCACAGACAGCAGTCTGTGTGATGCAGTACCCTCAACTAATGCGCAGCAATCTGTCTCACAGTATTTTTACCCTCCCATCAACGTCAGAGCTAATGACATGGCTCGTGTTCCCCATTTGGAGTGATGAGTTCTCTGTATTTGCTCTGGGGCCTCAGGCCGGTCTTGTGTGGCCCAGAATAGACCCAGCCCCGCGGCGATCACTAACTCGTACTGTGTGCTCTGCGGCACGTGCCGTGTGCCCAGGACTGGATGCATGAGCTACTGGTGGGCCCCTACGCACCTGCCACGCACCAGCCGACCGAGCCCCGCTTCGTGCGGCTGGAGGGCACCATGCTGAGAGTCTCCCATCCGAAAGGTGAGACCGACAGAGGACTTACTATGTTTGGCGGTTCCTCCTTGAGAACGGGTGTCCTCTGGTGCACTAACTCATGTGATCATGGTGGGCCAACCACCGATACAGATGACACTGTTTTCGGTAGTTCGCTTGAGAAACTAGTCCACAAACTCAGGGGGCCCGATGGCGAGAGCGAGGTGGCAATGTGTGTACTAAGTTTTGATGAGCCGACAATGCAGCATTGTCGAATTGTGCGAAGACTATCAAGTGTTTTGAATCCGTGGTTCTGAGTTGGCTTCGACACGGAATTTTTATTGGTCTGACGATCTTCGAATAACACATTGCGTGCCATCTTTTGTTTCATTTTGTCTTACGTCCAGTTTGCGTTGAAAACACTTCCCTCCGACTTCCACCCAATGTCGCAGCAGGATCTGACACCTCCCCTCCTTCCTCATCTCTTTCCCAGGCCACGTGCCGAAGCGCGCCTCGTGCGATGAGCACATTCCGAACCTGCCGTTCCTACAGCAGCGGATCTACGACATCTCCGGCTGTGAGGTGCTCCTGCTGCCGGACGGACTCCATCCCACACGGTACGGGCGCGCAGAGCGGCGTGTTCGTGTGTTGTCGAGGAAGACGGTAGGGCCATCCGTTACGCTACGATTTGGTAGTATAATGTGGTGTTAAGACTGGTCTCTAATGGCATGGCCAATCAATATTACAGTTACTATGAATGGAACAAGAATTGTAATGTAAAATGTGGGAAGCCAAGAGTGGTAAAATTACTGGAATGACTTAAAATGAGTCTGATCGAGGAAATTATTTCCTCGGCTGACAGTGTATGCGTCCGTGTGGTGTATGTGTTTCAGTCGATGGGACCGCCGCTACCCGCTGTGCGTCCGTCTGGACAGCTGCCGCCATTGCGTCCCCCAGCTGACATTGTGTTTCCACAGCCGGTGGAACCGCCGGTACCCTCTGTGTGTTCGCCTGGACAACTGTCGTCGGGTGACCCGGTCTCGCGGCATGCTCGGAGCGACGCCGCAGAAGGGCGGGTCCACCTCCGACCGCGGCAAGGCGACAGGTCAGTCTCAGGCGTTGTATGCAGGATAGCGGAGGTCGTTGGCATACTTATCTCTGACGCCATGTATTACTAGCGTGCACACTCACAGGCTATCTCAGGTCTTTTGTCAGCCTCACGTTGAACACTGGAGGTTCTCTACCGGTACGCTCAGTTCGTTGGAAGTAAAAAAGAAAGACAATTTGAATGACGATATGGGATAATGGTTAATAATTTTGTTAAAGAAGACGAAAATGATGAATCAAGATGCACATTGGTTCGGTCATCGGTGGCGTAACAGACAGACGTCATTCCAGAACCGTCTGACCCTCTCCCCATGTAACCCCACAGACGGTGATCGCGAGTCGAGTGGCGGCCCGCAGGAGGTGGCGCACGACGGACTGGCCGCTGACGAGCCGCGCGCCATTTACCTGTTCGCGCGCACCGACAGAGCCAAGGAGCACTGGTAAGTGGGCTAGCCAACCGGACGGCTGCCTGACCGTCTGAACAACTGGCATCTGACTGTCCGTCTGACAGTCTAGCCTTCTGACCGTCTGTTGTCTTGCCGACTGGTCATCTGACCGCTTGTCTGTTGGCTGGGGGCTACACTGAGCTCGATGGAAGGCGTTTATGGTTCGGCCGTGACTTGAGCTGCTGACTTGCAATGAGTTGAGGTGAGCTGTTCATTCGGCGGCTTCGGAGCTGTTCCTAATCTTCGTGCTCTTCGTGTGCTTTCCCGCTTTGACAGGTTCCGTCTGCTGCTGGAGGCCACACGTCAGGGTTTGGAGAAGGAGACGACCAGCATCTCACAGGAACTCACTGGTCGAGAGAGTGGCTCGGAAACGACGGCCTCTACCACCGGCGCCACGGCCTCAACAACGTCCACGTCCACATCTACATCTGCTTCCACGTCTACGGCAACCAACACCACAACCACCACTACCACCGGCACCGCCGCCGCCACTAGCACCACATCCGCTGCCGCTGACGGTTCCGGCTCCGGACCAGGATCAGGATCTGGATCAGGCTCAGGAACAGGCTCAGATACGGACAGTGGACAGCAGGAGTCGACGGAGGAGAACGCACCGCCGGCCCTACAGCCGTCACCCAAACTGGACTTTGACTACTACATGTCCAAACTGATACCGATGGTAAGATATGATAAGATAAGATATGGTAAGATGAGATACCGTCTGGCTCATAAATGGCATACAAAATTTGTTATGACTTTTAACTATGACTTTGGAACATGTTATGCCGTCAACACCTGGGTGGCTTCTGGCTGCGCTACTATTCAGCTCTAATTCAGCTCAGTTGCAATCAGCTCTATTCAATTAAGCTCTAAGGTGATATTGAATTGTGTGTGCGAACTACAGCCTAAATCTGGGATGAGCCCACCTGGCCCACTTCCCTTGCCTCATCTGAACAGCACCGTCATACGCTTACCTGAACTGAACTAGCCATATACTCGTATGTGCTGACCAAAGCTGGACTGACCTTAACTCCCCTGATCTCCACTAACCCCACAACCCGACCGACCCTCAGCCGTCGGAGGAGGGGTCCGACTCCCGACCGCCGTCCCCCGTGGAGGGACCCGGCCGAGCCCCGCCCACCACCGGTCACGTGGTCTGGTTCAACGCGCTCATTGGCCGGCTGGCGTTCGACGTGTTTGGAAACGCCGACTGGGCAGCCTTCGTGCAGAAGCGCGTCCAGCGTAAAATATCGCGCATCAAGGTGCGTGGGAGCATGATGGGAGGCAGGTGTATTGCTGAAGCTACAAATAGCTCGCCTTGCATATACAAAGCAGCCTTGATAAAAGTTTGTCATTTCTTTAGCGTTGCATATTAACCCATGTCTCGGTTATTTCACTGATAAATGATTTTTTTCGGTATCGGAATGAGAAGTCTAATGTCTCAGGCAGGCAGCTAGAGTACGCCAGCTAAAATGTCATCATCGGGTATACCTGCTTTTCGTGACCTAAACCACTGCAATATGTCTTCGGTTCCACCGCGCCTCTAACCGTCACCGACTCCCTTCTGTCCGGCAGCCTCCGTACTTTATCGAGGAGCTGACGGTGACCTCGTGTGACCTGGGCTCTGTGATGCCCCGTATCACCTCCGTGTCGGCTCCCAGCTGCGACGAGCGCGGCCTCTGGATGGACATGGCTGTGCTGTACGAGGGTGGTGCCTGTGTTACTCTGCGCACCAAAGTCAACCTGATGAAACTCAAAAAGGTTGGTGAGAAGAGTGTGTAGTGAAAGGGTAGATAGAGGGTCGGGTTAACCTGTTGAGGGATTGCAACATAGGCTTTGGGCGTGCGTAGTGTACGCACTACGTACGCACTGGGCGTTCCCAGTGTACGCACTTTGTACGCTGAGAATTAAGCGTTATCAAATAACTACTTGTGACAAATACGCGTCGGACAGTACGCGTACGGTGTTCAGTTTGATGTTCCAGTTTGAAACACGGTCGTTGTCAGCCAGTGTTTGACGTTGTTTGGTGTTGGTCGCCTCTTAAAATCACGGCCAATCTGTCTTTACAGCCTGATAGGGACGAGCAGCAGCAGCAGGGGGAGAGCGGAGCCGATAAGGATCAGACATCCTCGCCGGCGGAGGCGGGCTCTGACGCCAAATCGGACGAAAAGTGAGTCCAACGTGTCTTGGATAGACTGAGCCTAAATTGTTCAGTCAACCCGTTTTAAAGCGGATTCATCATCGCTCTACAGACGGACTCTGTACAATCCGCTCAATACGGTCCTGTATTTGTGTTCTCGAGTTGATTGTTATAGTTGTAGAAACAATAGAATGCACGTCCTACATATGATTATAATATCTACCGACCTCGTCCTGCCTGGTAGCGTGTTGTTCCCATACCGTGACCGCTCACAGTGTGTCTAACGCCACACCTGCGCCGCTGTTCGTCACAGGTGCGCCACCTACGCCTGCGATCGGAACGACGACTCGGCCGACGTAGAGTCTTCCAGTGACGAAGAGACAGACACGCTGTCTGCCGCCTCCGACGGGTGAGCCACTGTGGGAAAATGGTGGTAGGGTATTGGACAGTGACTCGGCTGCCGGCTGGTGCGTTGGTGTGGAGGCGGACACTCTGTCCGCCGCATCAGACGGGTGAGCCACCCTGGGAACATACAGGACTTATGTTGAACACCGATGTAAGTTGCCCACGATCGAGGACTAGCCACTATGTTTGACCATCTTTGATCTTCTGGCTTGTCCTGGCTTAGGCGCCATGGCTTGCTATGCTACTGAATCAATGGATTTTCATCACACCAAGCGGGATCGTCTGACCGTCCGTCCTCTCATCAGGGGTAGTGGTCCGCCGTCGCCCGCGCCGTCTGCCTCGTCCGCGGGCGGCCAGGCCGGCTCCGGCTCGTCCAGCGTCGGCAAGCGGCTGCTGAAGGTGGTGGACAAGGTGACCACGTCCCGCTACTTCCAACAGGTGCGTGGTGGTGATGTGAGATGGGGCTGGTTCAGAGGTCAGATATTTCGCTGGACGTTCGGATCTAACGAGGAGATTGGCAGTTATACCTGAATAAGCCGGGTATTCATTGGGAATGTTTTGCCGTAGATTTTGGGGATTTCCAACACTGATGTGTTCTAGTTGTTCGAGTCATTGCAGGCCTGACTTCTTTCCATTTTTGACACGGATCCCGTTCTTTGGGCGTAAGTGTCGTTTTGTCCAGACTAATGTTTTGTGTTCACTAAAATGTAAGTCATTATTATTTAAAATTCCCAGTAAATAAACGCGTTGTGTTTTCGAGACGGTGCGAATCCATGAATCCGCTCACGCCCATATTCACCCCTACCGGCAGGCGGCTCAGAACCGGTACGTGAAGCGCTACATGGAGGAGTTCTCCAACACGCCGCTCGAGCTAACGGTGACGATGCGGCACCTACAGGGCGTGCTGACGATCAACATTCCGCGACCGCCCACCGACAGAATATGGTGCGTAGTTCGGACCCGTTAGGTAGGCAGGGATTGGTGTGCTCGCCCGTTGCTTTGAGACAGGAAAGAAAGGTAATTAGTTTATCGATCTGCTAGATGCGATGAGTTGCATCCAACCAGGGTGACTTGCGCATCACTTTTGATCGTTGTGCACATACAGAAAGAAAGTAATAAAGGAATCTGTGCACGAGTATGGTGGCTAGAGATCTATCGAGTGCAGCATCCATATGCTTGTCTGTCAAACGACGTGTGTGGTTTTGCATCACTTCTCTCAAACAAAGGCTAGCTGTTATTTGATATGAGGTGTGCAGCTCAAAATGGTGAAATCACGAACGACGCCATGTTAACGTCTATATTCCCGCGCCGTGTCGTCAGGTACGGGTTCCGCGGCCAGCCGGACACGCTGCTGTCTGCCCAGCCGCGGCTCGGTACCCGAGATGTCACCCTCACCCAGGTCACCGACTGGATCGAGAACAAACTGGTCGGAGAGATGCATGTAAGTGCACCGGGCCTGTCGTGTGACTGGAAACTAGGGGAGGGTGCTGTTACGGTCAGGGAGACAGGCGCCGGATGGGCTCGAAGTGAAGGATTTTATTTTAGGCTGAATCTGAAGCGATTGCGTTTTAGTGTATTCACGTTAAAAGTATGTTTGTTTCCGAGTTCCGACTGTTTGACATTTCGACTTTTTCCTATTAAGCTATGTGACATATGTACATTCACATTCTGACTCACGCTCACTTTTTGTCTGTTTGGTTTCGTTTTGTAAGGTTAGGCCATTTCGGTCTAACGAGACCTTTTCAGCGCCGGAAGGATGATAGGGATATAGGGATTTGGAGGTGACATTGGTCTGGGCGGCAACTCTGGTGCGCCACCGAGGCTGATCTCGTCACGAGGCACAGGCCACCCATCCCCTCACACGGTTACCCCAGCGCACGTCAGCCTGCTCCTGAGGAGCTACTCAGGTCGCATGAGAGTGATAAGCCCGGATCAGTGGGATTGCGGCGTGGAGCGGGAAGGATTTGACAGTCCTGAGGTTGGAAAAGGGGGAACGTTGTCTGACTTCAAACGACCAGTGTTCAATGTATCAAGTGCACGCTTCCAGTCGTCCTAACACAGCCGCCATTCCTGTTTTCTGTTCAACATTGGAACTCTGAAGAAATACCGACCGGCTCGCCACTAACTCACGCCCCCGTCTCCCGTTCACAGAAGCTGCTGGTGCTGCCCAACATGGACGATCTAATCGTGCCGCTGCTGGCCGGAGCCACGCTCGACGGACCCGATGACGTCACCGGTGACGACTGACGGTATATGACGTCACCGGCTCGGCGCCGCTAGGTAGGTGCCACCGGGCCGGAGCACGATATTAGTGTGTGGAAAAATGTGCAACATTTTTTTCACCTACGGTATCTAGTGGAGTGTGACAATATCTGAAGATCATTGGTGTGAGTTTCATCATCAAAAGCTGGTGCGTGGAAGCGGATTTATCCGTATTCATCGATTTTGGTCTGATGAAGTGCCAGTGAAGCTGAAAATAGCATTGAAGGCGCGACGGTGGTCGGTTGCTGTGTTCTTAGTAGGCATTCCTTAGTGCTGTGAGCGGACCCAGTATGGGAAGGTCTGGACACTCGGTGCTCTGTCTGACCGTCGGGTGAGGGGATTCAATGACTTCAATCAAACGCACTCATCAAACTGCGGGACAGAGCTGCGGTCTGAGAGACGCACTTTGCACCGCACGGTGATGGCGGATCACACATGCTGTCGGCGATAGTCAAAGGCTAGTCCAGAGCTGTTCACGCGTCTATCGAAACGAGAAGTTAGTCCTCCAGTGGGCATTCTGCTGTGTAGCTTCCCTGTGGTAGTGATGTACCCGTTAGCCTTATGGCCTATGTTGTAGTGGACCACGCCTAGCGATCGTGACTGGAACCGCCCAATGATGAGCTGTATTTACGTGTCCTTCCGTCTATCGATGTCTGGTGCCACTGCCCCTTCTCATGTATCGAGTTTTATCTGTGTGTGTTGATATGTGTTCGACTATCGGCAGTGCACACACTCGTGTCATTTCTATTGAGCGTGCGGTGGTTATAGAGAGCAAATTTCTTCGGTCACTGGGCGGACTTTGAGCCATCACGCGGCTTCCAGCTGTTGTTTCCGTCCTTGGTCAAATGTCTCTCCCGGCCTTTCTTTCCGCCCGGTACTGTCGCAGAAACTGGGACTCTTCCATGACCCAAAAGTCAGGGGCAGTCCAGAGGACTCACCCCTGTTCTGGTTTGACCTGCATTGTCAGCCGAATGCGTATGTTGCATGAGCTTCTATGGTCTATGGGCATAACTACAGGGTCAGTTTCTGGTGTTCAGATGTTAGGGAACAAAATTCGGGCATAATTTTTGTCAGCATGACTAGTAAGGTGACAGCAGAAAGTGAACTGGATATTTTGTGACATCACGGGAGAGAATTAGCTGTGAACACTGCTACTCTCAACACCCATGACACTGGAAATCGATGGTAACGGCGCTGGGTTAGGGTGGTTTGCAGTGGATCCACGACACGAGCATTGACTGGGGAGTGTAATGTATAGCTGGTGCTGGACAAATGGGCACTACACTGGGGTATTGCTCACCAAAGTAGGGTGATGGGGGATGACATTGGAAGGCAGTGACATGTAAATACACCCATGCGACTGTCGGTAGCGAGGACGGCATTGGTGTCGCGGTACTGTGGTGTCATCTTACACCGTACTGCGGTGTCAATAGACACGTTACTGCGGTGTTACCCACAGTCTCGGGCGCGGTGTGTAACTGGGCAGCTGATGGCGCGGGTCCCGGACTGTTAGCTCCAATCTGTACTGGTGAGGGTGTGTTATGTTACCGCTTGGACCAGGTGGATCGGTCAGGGCGCTTGAGACTTGGTTTGTTTGGCTAGTCAGTGATCATATCCAGACTGAGAGTTGGCTGGGCTGCGATCTATCTCCCGTTTCCAACTGTTCAGAACGACGAGAACGTGTGTGTTGGCTCTAGCCCGGCTTTATGTATTCCTGCGTGTGCATGTTTCGCGTTATAACTTGTATACAGTGTTTGTAATGTTATATATTGTGGAATATATTTTTGACAGTGGTAATACTCTTGTGTCTCTGGTCGAGCTGCTCCGGCCTTTGTCCCGGGCATCAAGTCTTTTAAGACATCAAGTCTACTCGGCATGAAGCCTCAGTAGCTGCTGTCAACCTGATGTTATCATCGGATGGCTATATACCGGACCGATCTTAAATTTTGGTGCTACTTTTTACCAATTACCATAAAAGATTAGGCACTAGCAGTAATAACTTTAATGATATTGGCATGGATAACTTGTGAACTGGTGAAATAAAGATGCGTCAAAGTACATGTATATTGACCACGACTAACCCAACAGACAAAGACCCCAACACAGACCACCATGATGACCGAAGAATGAAACACGCGAACGCTATGAGGTGAACAGCCCACATTTGATCCGCGAACGACATCTCTGACCGACCACCGCGCAGCGCCGAGGCATCGCGACGAGCACTGGCACTACGGGCAACAGCACTTGCACCGCGAGGAGCTCTAGCATTGCGAGCAGCACTGGCATTGCGGGTAACCCCGACACAGCGCCGCATGACAGCACTGGGACGACTCTCATCAGCACTGACTTATTGCATTACAGAGACCACTTTGATAGAGCGTATCCCCAAGTCCCAAGAGAATTCCATACCCTGTCTGCCGAGAGCTACCTATATGTGCGAGTGCCAGTAGGGGCATTCCACGTCAAATCGAACAAAAATCGGCTGTTTTGCACCTTACCATCAGCGATTTCATTATAAATTTGTGAGCGAGTTCCTGTGTGGCCCCTGACATTACATTGATGTTTTTTGCACATTCTGACCACAGGTCTTCTAAATATAGGGCATCAAATTTTTACAAAATGTTGCATCTTTATATTTTTGAACGACCATAACTTTGGTTGTACTTGTTTGATTTGAATGAAATAAACCTTAATGTTTAGGTAATTTCTTAAGCACTTGTTTAGAATTGCACCTACTTAAATATATGACCTTGAAATTTGCTTAACTCTGTTCTTAAGCACAAATATTGAAATAGCAAAAAACACGTCACCTTCGATTTGGCTCATTTTCATATATTTTATTGCCTACCATATTCTTAACAACCTATGAAAAAATTAGAGTGGGCCATTCATAAGTTTTGGAGAAAATTGCACATATGCAAACGTATGTTAGCACGCGCAGTGGAGGGGGAAGAGCGAATTTCGCCCACCCCTCCTGTTTTTCGCCAATATCTCATAAGATTAATGCGAAATTAATTATGGCTACCTGTCAAGAATTGAATTGGACATCTCATCGTGCAAGCAATAAGAAAATCGGTTCACAACTGTTCTAGTAATAGCGGTGTAAATTGAACATCCTGTCGCCGCAGCGACGCGGCGACTCGGCAGCCGGCGCCGACCGCTACGCGCCGCCTGAATTGTAGACTGTGCCGGGACGGAACGGAACGGTTCCGTCTTTACATCGCGCTCCCTTCCGCTGATTACGTTCGATTCGCGTCAAATTTTGTGAGAAGACTAAGAAATGTACAGGCAATCTTATGGTGAAAGAATTTTGAAAATCGGTTGGTAAACAATTGAAATATGAACGTGTAAACACAAAATTGTGATTGCTGCGTTTCCCGCATCGGCCGAGCCCGCCTCAGCCGGCGACATGTTACTCTTAGCAGGCCTCTAACTGCCATATTTATTATTGGATTAACTAGAAATTCCCCATACTTACTAAAAAATGTATGTTCTTTCGTATAGTGAAGATCAAAAGACGTGAAGATATCGTTGCATGATAATGTTTTCGTTGAATTTACTTCATGATGCATTTCCACACGGCTCAAAATTCACCGCAAAATACCGTTTGCCTGAGACACTTTTACTATGGAACGTGAATGCTTGACTACTATGACTATGCATTTCCATTCTCGCAGAGTTTGGGATATCACTAATCAGCAATCATTCATTTCAGAAAGTGTGCACAAGCAAGCATGTCTTGACTCTGTCTTTCAAGGTCACGCGCGGTTGCGTGATGTTGATGCATGAAAACGGCGTTTGCCGCGAAAGTTATGAATGGCCCACTCCAATTTTTTCACAGATGGTTAGGAACATTGTGACGGACATAATATGTAAAAATTACCCAAATCGAAGGTGACGTGTTTTTTGCTATTTAAATTTTTCTGTTTTAATTCAAGGTCAAATGCATTTCAAAGTCACTTCAATTTAATTTTATAATTAAAAATCAAAGCCTTATCAATTGCCTATAAGACCCTGTTAATATCATTTTGATACCAGAAAAGGAACCAGAGTTATAGCCATTTAAAAAATTGATGTGTGGCATTTTTCGCTATATTCGATGACCTATATCTCAGCGATACGTTATCAAATTTCGAAAATGTTATACGTAACTCAGTTTTGAACCATGCCCAGTCTGCCTACAAATTTTCAGAAAAATCGAAGGGGATGACGGATTTCGGTGTTTGATTTGACGTGGAATGCCCCAGTATCTATTGTGAAGGTAAGCAAGGTATTGGGGCAGCGTGCTTGCTCACTACAGGTATCGCATGGCCACTGCACAATGTTGACCTGAAGGGCGCTTTTGGCGATGGGCTCCTAGTGGCGTTACAGGGTTTGGCTATAGTGATGTCAACTAGTTTAAAAAGTGATTCAAGACTAACAGCAGGCAATGTGGCGATGACAGGTGCAATCTAAGCAAGGCATCTTCATAATATTCATGTTAATGGTTAAAGGGAGAACAATGTAATTAATTATTAGCTCATCTACAAACTACCATGAATCAATGTTGACAGCAACAGTCACTAATCATCATGTCATAATATCAAAGTGCATGACTGTTTCCAGTCAGAGCATTTCACATGTAAATACAGCATGATAGTAGCTCCCCATCCCAATTATCAGCTTAGATATGTGCCTCACAGTTGACCATTCGCTGTAAAAAGATCACATACGCTGCACAACATCGCAAATGAATTACAAACCGGTGTGCTCCATCGTTCAGTACAAAACACAGACAGCTGCATTTTGCAGGCCAACGGGCTCGTCATCATGAGCTGAAGCGTAGAACGTCACATAGACACAAACTGAAACTAGGTTTGGTTAGGCACTATCGAATTTACTCACTGATTGTTTGATTTTAGGAACTTCTGAAGAGAAAGCCCCTGCCTACGGATTGGTCTCCATTGGTCCAAGGGTATGCCTTTATGCGTACAAATTCTTCCGCTGTGGTTAACTTATGATGACATCTTGCTTGAATGAAGGTTACCGAAATTGCAACGCTATGTTGAACCTAAACACTGACCATTGACTATGCGAATTTGAGTGCAAAGACAATAGATAGCACTTAGCGGTAACTGCATACGCTGAATACTTCTGCGACTGCAATTTCATTTTACCAATCTAAGACCATCACTGAGTATACTTCAAGTAAACTCTTGTCAGTCTTATACCGTTCCCAGTGGACTCCGTTGCGTCAATGGTCATTGCAGTATCATCCATTGTCTCATCACAAGCTCAGAACTTCGGTGGCATCGTTACCGCCAACGTGCTGAGAAGACGAGATAAGGTTGAAGTGAACCACGTCTGTAAGATTGTGCAGCGACTCTGTCCGTGGTATCCTAAAGTACAATTCACATGGACCGGTCGACGGCAGCTCGCGTTCTGTGGGGGTATGATTAGTGACACACGTCTACCGTCCGCTGCCGTCGGTCACTCTCATGGTCCTCGAAACCTGGTCCAGCTCATGGGACACCCGACTCTCGTGGCACGTGCTATATCTCACAGGGGGTCATGTGTTCTGTCACAGTTCACAGGTGGTATGCTCACACACGCGTTCCATTCTTGGTCGTCTCGTCGATCGGAAGAAGTCGCCAACTGGTCTGGTCCTCATATTCCTCTGAAAAGATGATGACATGTTCTAAAACATTGCGTTTCATCACGAGGCTCCGTTAATTTATCCAATCCGTCTTTGTTCCTATATTTGAGTATCCGTCATGTGTGCTATTACTGCATATCTCATGTACACATATATAAACTTTTTACTGCAATCCAAAATCGCAAAGCACAATTAGAGAACGTCGAGGCAGTTCTAATTCAAGCTCATCACCTAGTCCCATCAGCTCGTCACTCTGCCACGCACCTGTGCTCGCCTCGCCCCGTCTGTCGCACCATGCACTCTCACTTAACCCGCGCCCGGCTGGGGGTCCTGGATTCCCACGCCCTGCTGGGGGGGTGTTTGAACACCCCCCCCCCTTGTAACTCGGCTCCTGGGCCACGTAGCGATACGCGGAAAGCGGCGTTCGAAAGAGCGTAAAAAATAATGACGAAATCACTTCAGTCAATTTTTTGTTCAGGTCAAAGGTCAGGTCACCAGAGGTCATTGAAGGCAAAATTTCGCCGATTTCCAGGTAAAATGTCGAAAATTTCCAAGAAGCCAACGCATAACTCGGGAACCAATAGAGCTACAGCGCCGCGGAAAAGCGCATTCGATAGCCCTATTAACGCCCTTTCTGAGTAATTCTCTCAGATTTGACCTAACGTCAACGGTTTTGCCTGCAGGGGGCAAAAACTGCAAAAATAGCCGATTTTTTCGGAAACAGTTTTTCTGCAATAACTTTTGACCCAAGCCTTGTACGAGTTTACTTTCACCGGCATCGTGTTCCTCTCGTCAAGACGCATCGAATGAACTATAACTTGACCTTGAAAGGTCAACTTGAAAATTTGACCTCAGGTCAAGGTCATGACCTGACCGGAAAGGGTCATGTTGCATATCAGTCGATCCGTGTCGTCGAGCTGAACACATCTAAGGCGTTTTCATCGCTCTAGCATGCCTCTATCAAAAGTTATTTGCGAAAAACTGCTAGATACCATTCGTGACCTAAGATGACCTCAGGGCATAAACAAGGGTCACGGACACCATTTTTATGTTCAGTGTGTCTAAACCACTTGTAATTCGGTGTTTGGGAGTGTTTATAATGTCTTTCGTCCAAAAGAGGCGCATTTCAATTTTCTCCCATTGACTTATAATGGGGAGGTCGCAAAACTGACCTGACCTTAGGTCATCGATATCAAAATTCTGAGATATGCATTTTGTACATGCTATTGCTCTTAGCAATCGCTGAAAGTTTCAAAGCGATCGGTCACTCGGTGTAGCTATGACAGACATTGAAACTTTTTATGAGGTGAGGTCACTTCAAGTGACCTGGTGACCTGACCTTGAATGACCTTGGTCTGAAATTTTCACAACATGTGTAGAATTGATGTATGATAAGGTGTACCAAAAACGGCGGCGCTCCGCGCCGCCTTTTTGAGATATTCGCGAAAAACCACAAGGGGGGGGGGGTGTTCAAACACCCCCCAGCAGGGCGCGGGTTAAGTCACCGCAAGTTCCATCCTCATTCCTCCCTCTTCTGAGTCTGCCCTGTCCCGTCCGACCATCACCTGTGCCGACCGTATCTCGTTCGTTCCTCACCTATCCTCCCTGTATTCCTCCACCCCTCCTCTCCGTGTTCCTCACCTATCCTCTCCGTGTTCCTCACCTATCTTCTCCTTGTTCCTCGCCTCTCCTCTCCGTGTTCCTCACCTATCCTCTCCGTGTCCCTCACATATCCTCTCCATGTTCCTCACCTCTTCTTTCTTTCCTCACCTCTGCTCTCCTCTCCGCGTCCCTCGCCTGTCCTCCCGCCTTCCTCACCTATCCTCTCGGCGTCCCTCACACCGCAGCGGGTCTCCACCGGACTGCGGTTCGTCCCCGGAGTCCCCAGCAGCGTCGAGTGGCGGTCCAGGAAACGGGCCGCCTCGCCACTGCCCGGCACCAGACCTCCGCCCGACGAGAATATCCTGTCCACCTGACGGAGACAGTCGGCGCTTCGAGTCCGTGATTATGCCAGTGATTACCCCCTCCCCTCCCTCAGACACTCACACACAGTCTCACACTTACGCACACTGAGTTTACCATTGGAGCCAAGGACTAGCTCCTTGTCTAATTTCTCCCTGGCTAATGTTGGTGATTCTACAAGGGTGAAAATTTGACCAAACATTGATGACAGCAGGTCTGCTGCTATCCTGGACAAACATTGATAAAATGACGTCGTTTTTTCATAGATTATTATGAATCGGCCTTCTTTTCCTTTCGTTCGTCTGGAAAAATATTCCCAGGCATACATCAGCAAATCAACCGACTGAGGCTCGGACAATATCAAAATATGTTTCTCAACATAAGTAGGTAAGTCATTTAGACATGCAGAAACCAAAGTTACGACGAAGGTACGAAAGAGCGCAATACATCCAAAGTTAAAAACGCTATCTGCATAGCCTGCACTCAAGCGTATGCTTGCATTGGCGGATCAAGAAAAGCGATCTCGAAGGGATACCTAATACGGTTCGTTACGGTTTCCCGACATTTGGCGGCTCGCTGTCCACTGGCATCTCGCTTTGGGTCGCGAACCCTGTTTGGTCATGTACCTATGTATGCGATTTTCCTGAGCTGTTTAGCACTCCGCGCCTCTCTGCCACTGCGATCTATCACATGCCTCTCGCTACGGGTGCAGGTGCGGGCTGTAGGGAAGGCTGATGCGATGCATAGACAATAGCTGAGAGCATGGGATACTGCGATGCATAGTGCTGCTTAGTAATTAGAGCAATAGTGCAATGGGTCAAGTACTTTGCCAGTTGCATTATTTTCACTTCGCAAAACTAAGTCCATTCAGTACGACTCTGTAGCGCCACAACACACTCCTCTTTGTGGAATGCATTGTACAAACGACACGGGAGAAGTTGGAATGAAAAACGGGCATGCAGTTCTGCAAACGGTGCTTACCCACAAAGTCTGTGAAATTGTATGCACCGTGCCGCCCGCCCCTAGTCCAGCCCGGCGCGTGAGAGTTGCGTTACCTGTGGCGCCGCGGCCAGCGTCGGTCAGCTAACGCTCCCACTCCAGCAAAAACAGATTGACCTCCGCCGGAACACTCCAGCAGAGTAGAGAGGTGTTCCGTTAAGTGTACTCTCGGGTTTCAATTAGAAGCGTGAAGGGACGTTGAAAATCCTGCTATTGATTGCACCCATCCAGACAAAAAACGTTCTCTAATAAGTACCTACTGAGCAAAGTGCAGGTGAAGATGCTGTTTTACAAGAGCGGCAAAACAGTGCCTATGTCTTTGCACAGTAGCCTCCTAGACAGATGCTGTAGCTAAGCCAATGCAGTGCAGTGAAAACTCTACGACATCCTTCAAGGCGCTCTTAGGAATTATCTACGCTCAAGATCTCACCTGCAAAAGTTTCTGGACGACGTCCCGTCCCAAAACGTTATCGAACACGGCCTTGAGGAACTGGTCCTCCATGATGTTCAGTTTGAGCTTGTCCCGGTGCCAGACGAGTACTCGACTCTCCTGTAGAGATGTCACACTGACCTGGGAACGGGCGCGAAGGTCAGTATATGTATGAAGGCCAATATGAGGACTGAGGAGGGACAAATGCAAATTTATGTGTGAAGGTGAATCAGAATGATGCCCAGGCGTCTGAGGTATTTGTATTCACTAATATCTAAATTTTGGTCACTTCTTCAACCTACCATCAATGCATGACTGCGATCATTTGTCGAATCACGAATGTTGTATTGCTTCCTTTATGGATGACTCAGGACCAGCGGGTCTTAGTCATAGTGCATGGCCGTAACTGTTGGACAATAAACTGATGGCTTCACGTCACTCCGCATGCCGGTACACCATGGCACAATGTTAGTCCGACTCCATTGTGCACATTTAGTTACTGGGGAACTAGTTTCACTTTAACTAGGTTAAGTTACGAGTAACTGGCGGGCTCGATATACCGTCATATAACGTTATCGCAACTTGATGCAGTCTGCGCTTACTCGTCATCCGGTGTATTTTCTCACCTGGAAATAGTCGTCGGTGAGCACTGAAAACCACTCGGGCGAGTCGAGAAACTGATCTCTCGACACCACGTGGAGAGCCTTTCCTCCCTGGGAGACCACGAATCTGTCGAAATGGAATGGCGTCACTCGTCTGTACCCAGTCTCCCAGCGGAATGTGAGAGATGGTTTATAGTTATTGAAATGCATATAGACGCCCTCCGTGGAGGCTGGTGGACGCCAATGTGGACGCGGCGTCCGTTTTCTGAACTCCTGAAATTTGACGGTAGTAGGCTGGCAATACAAATTGTCTCTAAACGCTATTTAAGCGTCGATCGACTAACAGAAACCACGTTGGTCCAAACAATCACCCATGAACCCATTTACTGTCAACATCTCTTACTGTCCAGAGAGGACGAGGGTCAGGCTGTCGACGCGGGTGGCCTGCTCTTCAATGATCATCTCTCGGCAGCTGACGGAGCGGATGGCGCGCATACAACGCAGAACACGCTGAAACTGGCGCCGGTTCACGTTCAGGGGCGCGAATGTGGCGCCGTACACCTGGTGGAGGGTGAGGGATGAGGGGTGTCAGCTGTGACCCGGCGAGTGATGCGAACGACGTCGTGTAATGATGTCCTGTAATTGTCCTGTCGGATAATGAAGTCAGTTATGACCTCATGGCAAATGAAGTATGAGTAACTACGAACCCATTTGATATGTGTTATCTGGTCACATTTATATGATGATGATGATGATGATTGGGTTTGATGGCGTGCCCAACCTCTGAGGGTTATATGACGCCAGTAACTTATCTTCTTGCGTGAGGTGCGGGGCAAGAACTGAACAGCGAGTTAACAACAGCGAGTTAACAACAGCGCAGGTGGGCGTGCTGAACAATGGTGAGCAATGTGCAGTTTTCTCTCAAAGCACGAGCAAAATGAGGTAAGAACGGGACAACAGTCCCTCAAGAAGCGTTGCTCGGGCTACCGTCCACTATACTAGGTCTGGGTTTAGAAACTATCGTGCTCGAAGATAAAAGCCAACCCTCGCAGGACAGCGAGACAGGAGGGTCACATTTATAAATAATATGATAATGCGCATAGAAACGTCCAGCCGTGACATACAAATATTTATCCATTTCCCGGTCTTTAGGAAGGCATTCGCACAAAGGCCGCAAGCCGTCTCGGTGTCGGCCGCATATTCGTGTCTTGCGGTACAGCATCTATTAGGCGCTGACACCTACCGCCATCTATGAACAATAATATAAGCTGGCTGCGGCCTTCTGTCCCCGCGCTGTATCTCCCGTCCGGGCTCACCTGCTCGAGTTCCTTCTCAAATCGGATGGGCCGCAGCGTCCACAGCAGGTAGATGACATGCCCGACGTTGATCCACATGCAGACAAAGTTCCAGGCGAACGTATCCAGCGAGCAGAGCACGACGTAGCCCCAGAGCCAGAGGAAAAAGAGGCCGACGGCCAGCGTGGCTCGCAGGTAGAGCAGCCCGCCGAGGCCGCTCGGCGCCAGGTACGACAGGAACAGAAAGAAATTGGCCAGCTGTAAACAGTGCCCACGCCTCACAGGGTTATATTGCAGCGGTGGTGTGCCAGTGGTAATCTTTTGGCTTTGGTCGCTTCATAAAGGTACATTTTATATGGAAATTGACGCTGAACATTGGATTGTGACGAAAGTTATCTACCTTCCCGTATTTTCCGTTAATTATTAATGTAGTTTAACCCGCGCGGGGCTGGGGGGGGTAAATTTTACCCCCCCTCGCGAATTTTTGCAATATCTCAAAAACGGCGGCGCGCAGCGCCGCCAAACTTTCAGTACCTTTTCTTACATCAATTTGACACGTTCCCTGAAAATTTGAGCGAAATCCGTCGGAATTTTTTTTGAGAAATTGACGTTTTAGTGACGTCATGTTCGGCATTTTCGCCTCAAAAACGGCAAAAGTTCAAACGCCGCTAACATCTTTATTTTTAAAGGAATCAAGACGTAACAAAAAAGGATATACGTAATTTTACTTTGTCTATCAAATGGCTATCTCGGTTTTTTGAAAATTTTGGATTTTGGCCTAAATTTTTTCAAAAAACTGACTTTTTTGGGAAAATTGCTATAAAATCCAAAATTTTGAGTGTATCGAAAAAACCGGAATATATGTCAGAGAAGTGGTCTATTTGCACCTACATACCAAGTTTTAGAAGAATCGGTTCAAAAATGTGGGAGTTATTCAAAATTTTATGACGTCACGACACACAAAATTTTTGAAAAATGACTTTTTTGGAAGTTCTAGACCTCGTACGGAAACAAAAATAGCACCATTCGATTCGCCGTGAAAAACTGCATCAGATAGACACCTTTTTAGGCCTTAACAATCAACTTCAAAATTTGACCTCACTTGACCTGACCTTGACCTGACCTCGACCTGAAATTCATCCAGAGGTAGTCCATATCACTTATTGAGTGTGCCTATTGAATTCTATGAGTAAAATGACCCATAAAACATGTGTCGCACATGCCCTTTTCTATATTTTGTTTTTGGTGACCTGACCTGACCTGACCTGACCTTGACCTTGACCTCTGAATGATATTGTATGCAACGAATATTGTCTTGGTAGCCTAAGAACACGTTTTGGGCGATCAGTCTCAATCCATGACTCCATTCTTCGGCAACTACGGTGCAAGGCCGATACTGTAGGAACTTGCAATTTGTACCCTTGACCTGACCTTGACCTTGACCTCAAACTTAAAATTAAGTACATGTTTTTAGTTGTTCGCGATGAGATCTTTCGATTGGCGTTTGAATTTTCCAAATCGGACCATTAGTTCGGGAGATAACAGGGGGGTAAAATTTACCCCCCCCCCCCCCAGCCACGCGCGTTCGGCTGGAGACCCCAGCCCCGCGCGGGTTAAAATAAAATAAAAATGCAATCTAAGCAGATGGATCATCAGAAAGTCTGGTGAGATCCATACAAATAGCTGTTCATTTCGACTGTGATGTATCGCTCAGTTATCGGGCGACGTGAAACTGTAATGACCTCAATCGCCGGCGAGTCTCCACTCCTAGCTCACTGCTGGGGTCATTTAACTCGCCTGCTCAGTTAACCACACGACCAACTAGACTCATTTAGCGTGACAGTTTCATGAATTACTCACCCGCCAACGAGCCGGCGAGCTCACTGCTCACTGACTCATCGCTCTCTGCTCAGCTCACCTGAAAGTAGACATGGTTGATTTTGCCGTAGCTCGGACAGATGAGATACCAGCCGACGTCTGGCGGCGCCGATTCGGTCGGTACGGAGACGTTCACTGTCTCGGTGGTGATGGAGCCGAACAGGTCGGTCACAGACATCTGCCGACCTCGGGAGGGGGCGACAGCCTCGGCTCCCGACGGCTGGAACACGGCGGTCACCGCTGATCGCAGCCCATCCGCTCGGACCTCATGGCAATGGTCGGCGAAGGTCAAACAGTTTATCGGCAGCCGCGCTCCAGATTGGATGCAATTGTAGATTCTGCTCTGCCATAAGCCGTTCCAGATGGGGTGAATGGGTCCGCCATTGTTATGACTACATGGAATTGGTGGCTTTTTGAAGATATCGCCCTCAAATGTTGCTGTAATTAGGCTTGTATAAGAGCGGACTGGTTTGCTTCTCCTATGGTGAACGATATCACGATATCAGAAGCATCTGTCGCTCACTACATGACACGTGTCTGGTCGTTTCCAAAGTCCTAACACCTGGCCTTCAAATTTCCTAGCCAGATGTAACAGCTTGAATTCTACAGAACAGAATGGGTCAAAGTACTAGTTTCGTCGGGAAGGAGTGAGCATATTCTGCAAATTTAGCAGAAGCTATCAGGGCTAGTTTAATTGTGGCCTACGGCTACTTTCTGGCACTTTATACGGGAAAACGTTACTTAGGTATTCAGTGCTGCTCGATGTCGATATACTGATGTTTGACTAGGAATCAAAAGAGCTAAAGACATGCAGTTATCGCGATCAACCTGCAGTGTTTTTATTGTCAGTTATTGATTGTGATTGGATTATTTAGCTCGTAAGTGTTCTCCGATACCAATCATCGATCAGCTGCGAATGTGGTCGGCAAAACCCACTCCCGCTGAAATACTGATGGGAATAGAAGTGGACTGGTTGAAGGTCACCTCTGTCTTTCTGACACGCACAATTGATTAGTTGTCCGCACAACTCTTACCGTACCGTACCGGGGTCGCTGATAAGTGCTGGCCAGAAAAGTCAGCATCCGGCAGCCTTAACGTGCCGAATCTTACTATAAGGATTTTGAGGTCGGGCTTAGCAGCCTGATTCACGTGTAACACTTATGGGCATGAAAATTAGGATACATTGAAGCGAAAAAAAATAAGCCTTAACCCGCGCCCCACTGGGGTCTGCGTATAACACGCCCTACTGGGGGGGGGGGGGGGGCTATTCATAGCCCCCCCTCCTAACTCCGAAACTACTGGGCCGATCGTCAAAATTCAAACGGCGTTTGATAGCCCCTGAAAAACTGTCGAGCGAAACCTAATTTCATTGACCTCGAGGTCACCGATGACGTCACAGGTCAGGTCAAAGTGAAAATTATTAGCATTTTGGCTTGTTCACGTTTTGGGCTCTGGCCGCCGTCTTACAAGTCAGATCAGGCTCATTTTTGGTTCACACACTCGTGAACAGATGCTCTAGACACCCTGAGGGTACCAAACTTGAACTTTGATTTTCAGGTCAAGGTCAGGTCATCACAGGTCACGAAAATATTATATCATGCGTCGGTCACGTGACACATGTTTTATGGTCCATTTAGGCCAAAGATTTCGAATTTGAAGTCGTCTGTGTCATTCGAGGTCATTTTGAGTCGAATTTAGCTTAGGTCAGGTCACTTTCAGGTAAAAAAAGGTCAAATTTTGAAGTTATAATTTTTCAACAGAAAAGGTGTCTATTGGATGCAGTTTGAGCTCAGGAACACGATGGTGCTATTTATATTACATAGCGTACGATGTCAAATACGTGGTGAAAAATTGATTTGAAAAATTAATAATTGTGAATTTTTTTGCAATAATGCGTATAACTTGATCATTTTTGAAGACATTTAGCTAAAACTTGCTAGAGTTAGTCATAATAACGCGTTCTATCACATATATTCCGATTTTTTTTTTCGAAAAGTCAAAAACTTTTTGAAAAAATGTAAAAATGTCAATTTTGAATTTTATTATATAAAATTTTCGAAATTTTCAAAATTTTGAAAATCCGAGATAGCAGTATGATAGCGCAATCTATTCTGAGTCCTCTCATGCAAAGAAATTGGATCTAGCTTAAAAAACTGAGCCCTTGGGAGCGATTGCCGTGGTTCAATGTTTTGCGTCGAAATCGGCCGAGCATGACGTCACTCTGACGTCATTTCCGGCCGACCTATGGTAGCTACGAAGTTCAAATTTTGAGTTTGGCGTCGATACGTCAAGCGGTTTGGAAGTTAGGTATTGCAGAAAAACGGGAGGGTGGGTTATAAATAGCCCCCCCCCCCCCAGTGGGGCGCGGGTTAATACAACAATTAGCCCTGGCCCTGCTGCCCGATTATTTTTCACCCTCCCCTCCCCGCTCAACAACTTTTTTATCTGAGTCAATTTTGAGTCAACTCACTTGACTCAACAAAAATTTGAGTCAAGTTTGAGTCGACTCATATTTTCATTGAGCCGCTTGAGTCATGAGTCGAGTCAAGGGAAAAATAGCTCCTTGTTTGAGTCAGAGTTGAGTCAGGGCTTTCTGAAGTTGAATGATGAGTCGAGTCGGCAATTTTTTTAGTCGAGCACAACCCTGATGCATAGACATTGACCAATCCGAAGTCATCGCGTGAAGCCAAAGCATTCTTTGTTTTTAATATCTATCTAATAAATCTTTGGGTGCCAGGAATTCTACCTTTTACGTGAGCCGCGATGAAATAAAACTAAGGTGGTTGCATCAACCGCCGCTGACCGGGGATCAGGTAAAAGCACGTTGAGGGCCTGGCTAACCACTTTAAGCTAACATTACGTATTGTGAGCGCACATCTACATACATTTATGTATATTAGAGCACTTCATGGGCCGGATAAATCCGTTATCCACGGATAAATCCGCGGACCGGATAGGATTGGATTCTAAATTTGTTAAAAAAGAACGGATATGGGCGGGCCGGATTTGGGAATTGAAGGTTGAACCCGGATCAAAACGGATCAAAATTTTAACATTCAACATTGAAGTTAAAAATTAGCCTAATGTGTTAAGCGGCAGCAGAGGTTTGATTAAAGTAATAGGCATCATTTTATGACACTCACTTGTCACAAGACTTGTATGGCTGTCTGGTCCCTTAGATTGAATTTGTTAGTCCAGTTTTGGGTGAAACCAGTTATTGGTGAAACGGATTATTACGGATATTTTTTGGAAGTTTGGCTGCAATACGGGCCATGGGTGCGCCGGATTCTGATATTCAAAGAAAGGCGGATAATGGGCGGATCTGGATATGACTTGCCGGATATGGGCCGGGCCGGATCCTAAAAAGCCTATCCGTGAAGTGCTCTAATGTATATTCGGTACATAACACTATGGACAGGGTTGACACAGAGAGGCCCGACTGAGACTCAAACATGGTCTCATCGTCGTCTGCAATTCACCCCGTCTAAATTTGTATGGAGTATTATGTATGCTGTCGCCACTCACTTGAGCAGGGGAGGCTTAACGTCACAAAGTTGAACGGCCCTATTCTGCATAGTCAGCAGGCGTCAGATCTTCTGTAGCTAAATCGGGGCGCGGGATTTAAGTTGACGGGAATAATAACTCACAGAACGTGACCGGAGGCGAGGTCATATGCAGGCAGCTCCGCCCAGACTTTGGTCAAAACGGGCATATGTCAACGTCGCGATGGCCAATTTGTGAAATGGTGATAAAGTAAAACGGTTATGCTTGCTCGCCGACTCGCGAGTCGGCAAGCCTCCGTGGCGAGCTAGAAAGGGTAGCGGTGTCAAAAGCTAGCGTAGTTGTTTTGGGATACACAACAAATGCTTATAATTGAGCGTAAACAGCCATAAATTAATACTCAAATGTTATTGTTGCTTCGTACTAGGACGTCTGTTTTATGTAAATAAACGGTTATCGCATCAATTTCAAGTTATTTTCAAAAATTTCAGTCACGAATCAAACACATCTGAACTTATTGACATTATTTCTGCAGAACGGCGGGTATTCAAAAGATTTGTCGCCGAGGACCAGGGAATTCGGGAGTCATAAGCTCCAAGCATCATTCCAATCAACATTACGTGCACATGACCACTGCTACAGCGCCTCGTATGGCACCTCAATTAGCTATATACAATACACCTGAGTCACGCTACACACTTTAAACCAAGCATGGCATTATGATAGGTGCCAATCGACGCCTTCCCATCCCTCCAGCTGTCTTTTGTTGAGATCACTGACCTTTTGTCTCCGTCCGGTATCCTTTTGTTTCGACTGCAGTGGTGGGCGGTGGGCGGTTAACGGTTGTGAGGCGGTGGGCGGTGGTGCAACTCTTCACTCCCCGCTTCCCACACCTAACTCCCTCACCCTCCTCACTCCCCTCACACTCCCCTCTCCTACCGGCGTCCTCCCACTGCAGCACCCCACTCCCACCCACCGGGAGACCTCAGCCACCTCTGTCCAGCACACACACCACCCTCTGCCGGTCACCGGTCCGACGGCGCTGTCCGTGCTCTCTGACCTCCGCCAGTCGGCGAGCGGACGACCGGCGGCGCGCGCAGCGCTTCAATCGATAGCTCCGTCTGGTGCCGGGCGTCCGCTGGCCGGCCGAACACACCCTGTCACACTGCAGACTCTCAGCTGCTGGTTGCCGACCGGTGTCCTCCAGCCAGCCGAACACACCCTGCCACACTGCTGCAGTCTCTCAGAAAGGAAGGCAGGTTTTGTGCTGTCACGGTGTCCCGTGTCCGCTGGCCAGAACACACCCTGTCACACTGCTGCAGTCTCTCAGAGAGGAGGCACCTCTGTACTGTTACTGTTAAGACAGAATGGCGCCCGCTGGCCAGCCGAGTACTCAACACACCTTGCCATGCTCTGCCGACTCTCGGAGACGAAGACGGATTTTGTGTCATATTCGGCACGGGGTCTCGACAAAAGAGTTCCTCGAGCAGCTCCAAGCGAAGACGCGTCGGTCGTTGACGACTTTAACTGATTGATTATGCCCCACTCCCTACAATATTTTTGCGAACTTTCAGCTTCAAAATCGTCTAGAATATGGATCGTCGTGCTGCTTTTAAAGGGATTTCCATGGCAATTGATTTCGCGTTTATGCTTTTAGGTTCCTTGTTCAGAATTTAACGCTTCTATATATTAATCTTCTTGCTCGCAATTCATTCAGATACATATAACCAAGGAGGGTCATGTGTACCATGACAATTAATGAAACAGATTACCCTGACTGGGAACAGATTTGATTGGTTAGGACCTTACTGGCCCAGATGGTGCATTTATGAATAGCCAGCGTCTAAACACACGTCAGGTGTGATATTTCACAGATCAGCTCGCAGAAACATCGGAGGTGTCAGGTGACTAATCTGTTCTCTGGCATTGGTGAACGGAGGAAATTGAATTAATAAGGTCTTGTATTCCTCGGCTTTGGTACAAACACGCACTATTGCACGACATGGATGGCACAAAGGCACATATGATGATACAAAGTCACGGCCTATAGAATAACTTACAATGATCCAAAAATTCATACAGTATACTTCTTGGGCATGTTCGGTGTTCACTGTGCATTATATTCTACAATGCCAATGGGGGCAATTATGGCTCAAGACAGCCTCAAACCACCCTACTTTGAACAAGTCACCAGCGGTTCCACTACCAGTCGCTTGTCCACGGAGTCCATGGGCCAACTTTTCAGAAGCTGTTGGATGAGATCACGTGTCCACGAGGTCAGCCCCTTATTAGCTGTTGGAGGATGTCACGTGTCCACCGAGTCAGCCCTCCGGTAGCTGTTGGAGGAGATCTCGGCGGGCGCGCTGCGGCAGCCCCGGCGACCCCAGCCGCTGGCCAGGAAACCCAGCAGCGCTGCGGCGATCAGGAGACCGCCGGTCATGTAGAACGGCTCGTCGTAGCTGTTGGTTCGCTCGGCCACAAATCCTGGTGGTCACAGTTGGAGGGGCGGTCATCAGAGAGTGAGCGGTTGTAGACTGAGGAGCGGTCACAAGTGTGGACACGATCATAAATGGACTGGCAAGATGTGCATTGTGCAGGTCAGTTAGGTCAAGGGTCGGACACAGTCAAATTAGTGAGTGCGGGTCGTCATATATGGATACCAGCGACAGGCAGGGACCACACTGCTGAAGAAGGCTGGTAATGTTAAATGTATGACGCAGGACGGTTGTCAGTCAAGGTGTTACTTCCGCCACATTGAATGAATGAGCAGTACCAGCAAACCTAAGCACAAGTCAGCAAACACCCATTCCTCGTCATCGGCTTCCCCATCCGCAGACCATACAACCATTGGAGTCGGACCACATACCTGCCAGAGGCGTGCCCAGCACAGCGGCCACTCCTCTGAAGAGCAGCGTCAGACCGAAGGCGTTCGTTAGCCGTGCCAGGCCGACCATTTCCACCAGTACCAGGGAGGAGAGCGTGCTGTTGGCCGCTGCAGCAGCGAACGGCCGGTCAGTGGTTACGTACGATCACACACGGTCCCCTTTTGCACACTCACGGTCACGACAAGCGGCCACCGTCCGGACACAGGCGGTTACCGTCTGGTCACCCTCCAGTCATACACATGACATAACACCGTCAGCGGTTTTGAAAGCGTGGTAAATACAATAATTAGAAACGTTTTTTACTCATTTAATTCGGTTTTTACACATAGCCAAACAAAGTATAACTTTCCATCAAGTCCCAAACTGATACGGGAGGAGAGAGTGACGATGGGCGGCATAGTCATTCTTTGTCGCTCACAATCCCTCAGCTCATCACACAAAACAGCCCATAGACGGACGGATTTGGTCCGGATCCATTTTAGAGCCCGAAATGGGTCATTAATCCCGTCTCACAGCAGGATGCGGGGCAGTCGTCTGTCTAGTCTGGTCTCTCTCTCGCTCTCTCTCGCTCTCTCTCGCTCTCTCTCTCCCTCTCTCTCCCTCTCTCTCCCTCTCCCTCTCCCTCTCCCTCTCCCTCTCTCTCCCTCTATCTATCTATCTATGTATCTCCCTCTCTCCTTTAGAAACGAAGTAGTCTCACTGTGGAAACGACGTGAGCTTGTGGCGTTCTCATCAGAGACCCTATAGTATAAACCACTAACATTATCACCTGAGAGCAGACCGAAGACGGCCGTGACCACCGCGTAGGTCGAGTACGTCTCGCAGAGTGGGATGAGCAGCGCCACTAGGCCGGAGCCCAGCATGGAGACGTTGTTGAGGAACAGCACGTCCATGTGCTGCATGTCGCTGAGCACGCCGACCGCCAGCCGACCCACCGTGTTCGAGATGCCCATGACCGCCACCAGCATCGAGGCGTGCGGCGGGCTGACTTTCTGTATGGTGAGAAGGGCATATTCAGATGGATCTATTCGCTTCATCTATTCGCTCATTCGTGCATGCATATGCGAATTGCATTCACTTTATTCCTTCCTTCCTTCCTTCCTTCCTTCCTTCCTTCCTTCCTTCCTTCCTTCCTTCCTTCCTTCCTTCATTCATTCATTCATTCATTCATTCATTCATTCATTCATTCATTCATACATTCATTCATGCTTAGGTGCACGAAAGCAGACATTCATGCACGCTGCTTAGGTGAGTAAACTTACATGCTGTACAGCTTCGTCCAGTATGTAGACGATTGGCACGAAGTATCCCAGCATGCTGAAGGAGTAGCCGATGCAGGTGAGCAGGAACGGCGTCTCCTTCAGCAGTGAGACGTTCAGCATCTCCTTCAGCACGGCAAACGAGTCTCCGGCGGCTGTCGGTGGAGGTGAAGAACTATCAGCAACAGAAAAATGGCAGAACCTGGGGCTAACAAACTGCTGATGCCAGAACCTGCAGATAATAATTATAGTTTTAAAAGGAAACTGAATGAGCGCAGTAAACCAATTATCACCGTTAAAGCCATCCGAGCCCCAGTTTCATTTAGCCTCACTATAAATGCATGGTGCATTCTCCCGGTTCACGAACACAAACTGAACGAAATCCGCAGCCGACCAATGACCATTTCTCACCTCGGTCAGACGGCGTGGCTTCTCCGACCGGCACGGTGTCAGCGCTGCCCACTGAGGTCAGGGCGAGCCTCCGCTGCACGTCAGTGTCAGCGGCGGGTGGCAGACTGGAGGGACTGACTAGAGCTCCTGTGGGAGTGACTGCGACCCGCGCCACCGTCCGAACTCTCCCCGAGAAGAACACATCTGCCCTCTGCAGGGGACGGAGATGAGAGGGGACTGGGCCCCGACCGGCTGCTGGTGTGTAAGGGGTGTGGGACTGGTTACAGGGCGTGGAGACGGCCAGACGGGGAGAGAGCAGGTCAGAGAGCAGGTCAGAGAGGGGCCGGAGGTGACCGGAGACGGGACGGGACTGACCGGAGATGGGTCGATGGTGACCGGAGACGGGCCGGAGGTGACCGGAGACGGGACGGGACTCGCTGGGAGCGCCGGGACGGAGGTGGGATGATCGGTCACCCAGGGAGCGGAGCAGATGGGAACGGGAGGCGGCCAGCGTCTCACGGTGGAGAGGCTCGTCTGGGAGCGGACCGACCGGGTCGATATGCCGTCCCGTAACGACCGACTCGGCTGACTGCTGGGAGCACGGGGCGCCCTCACTGAGCGTGTCGCCGGTGGAGCTGGCGCTCTGTATTACCACCTCGGGGAACAGGAACACTGCCGGAGGGGGAGCAGCCGCCGGAGGACCGACCACCTCCATGTCCCCTGCGTTAGACGGTACCGCTGGTGAGGCCATCTTCACATAACTGCCGGTGTTGGTAGCCAGGAAGGTGTCGTCGGGAGAGGCGGGTCCAGCCTTCCGACGGCCGTCCGCTGTGATGGGGAGCGGTTCTATCGCCCCGGTCAGGGAGCGGCGGTGTTCTCCCGTTCCGGAGTTCTGTTCGCTGTCTGGCCCAGTGCTGGTCTCAGGCTGGCGGCCCGGTGTCGGGGACGGCGGCACAGGACAGCAGCAGGGCCGACAGGGCTCGGAATCCGACTGCGGCTCCGCCATAACGCCGCCCATCAGCTGAAATGAAACACAGCAAATTGAGGGTTACTCGATAATACTAGGGAATCACAATACATTTACGTCCTAGATCATTCAAATGTGTATCGGATTTTATAAAATGAAAGCTGAAGATTATATCACTTGATCAGCTAAAAGTTGCTATTACTTCGGATATATCGTCGGCACAAAATACAAAAAAGTGTGCTTGCGCTAATGATTTTAATCCCACCGAGCCCCGTCTCGCCGTTGAATGACTGTAACTCACGGCTCCGGTGAGGAGGAGGGCGGCAGTGGCCAGCTGGGCGCCCTTCCAACCGGACACGTCTAAAAGGTACTGCGTCAGCGGGGCCAGACAGAAGGTGCCCACACCTGTGAGGAACAAGGCAGGAAACGTGGGACATAAACTGATCACCACTAGTCACCCACTATGAGAATGGAACATTTTTATTAGTTAGTGGAGCATTCAGTGACTTAGAAGGTCGCTTCTTGCGTTATGTGCAAGTATACCTATGCACTATTTATCAACTCATTTACAAATTAGATAAGAGTTTCATAAATTTACTCGATCGCTACGTTATTCCTTATCTGTAAGCGTGGTTCTCGGCCAGATGCGGAGGCGGTTGCATAGGTACCCGAGCCACAGACGACTATGCCGGTGGCCAGTGCCCGATTCGTGTCGAAATGAATGCTAACGGCGACCACCGAGGGCAGGTACATCATTCCAAGTCCGAGACCTGTGAATACGCAGGGAATAACCAATATCGCATCACACAATTCAAACATGAACTGTTTGGTCTTCATGACTTTTTTCTAAGCAATACGGCAAAGTTAAATGATGAACATATTTTTTTTTTGCAAAATGATCATTCATCAAGCCCAGCATTCGGGTTCACTAGCATGGCTCACACAATTTGATGTCGGATCTCTTTGTCCTCCAAAAATGAGCATGTCCCGTTCTTACCTCCAAGGATGCCGTACATGACGATAAAGAGGCCGATTTCGGAGGCCGATGCGCTGAGGCTGAAGGCCACTGATGACATCAGACTGCCGGCAATCACCACCTGGCGACAACCGAGCTTGTTCACCAGCGCGCTGACCAGCGGACCTGCCGGAGAGAGAGGGAGAGGGAGAGCGAGAGAGAGAGAGAGAGAGAGAGAGAGAGAGAGAGAGAGAGAGAGAGAGAGAGAGAGTGTAACGCACGTCGTGAGTTGTTCTTAGTTTACTTAGACGTTTAGTTATAGGTAGGAGACGCATAATATTTCCAGCAAATTTTAAGAAAACATCAAAGATTTAGTTCAATCCAAAATATTATTCGTGACATGTATGAACATGCATACTGCATGCTGCATAGGCATATAAAAATACGTTAATTTGGGCGTTGTTGACGACTGACTGACGCCTTTCCGACGTGGAGACTGCAACGCCGCCGAGTTACCTGCACGGAGCGATGGTAGGCTGTGCCGCAGGGCTCAGCTGTCCGGCGGCACAGCCTACCCATCAAGGTATTTTTACGGGGATGTGGAATACGCCGAGGGCAGTTCAATGTCAGCCGGCGCATAGGATCAGGGTAGTTATAAGTTATTCAATATTCACCTCCTTCTCTTCTATGCAGCTAGGTAAATATTTTCTTTTAATATAAATGGTGTTTCAGCAGTTATGATTATTTGTTGTTTCTGCGTAGTGCGTTTTAAAAATACAATACAATACAAAATAATTAACTCGACTTCCACGATCCACATCCCAGAGCAGAGCACTGGATCCATCTGCTCCCAGTCGCGGGAGGTCCCTGCTCTCCGACACGGGAGACGTGTTCCCTATCACGGGAGACCTCCTCTCCCCGTCACGGGAGCCCCCTCCCTCACCGACGATCAGCTGGCCGCCGCAGAGGACGCTACCCGCCCAGGACGTGTCAGCGATGGAGGCTCCGATCCGATCGGCCAGCTCCGGCAGCAGCACGCCAAAGCAGCTGGCCACGCCGTCCGATAGGAAGCTCAGCCAGAAACAGGCGACCACCACCAGCCACGGACGGCAACGACCGCCGGCGCAGCTGTCGCAGCATGGAGCGCAGCTGCTGCAGCTGCCGCAGCACTTAGCACAGCTGTTGCACCCGGGGCTGCACTGCCCGCAGCCGCTATTACAGCAGCAGTAGCCGGCGGTACGGGGAGAAGCGTGTCCAATCTCTTCACTGTCGATATGGTCCGCGGCGTCGTGGAGATCGGACATTTTCCCGCCAGCTAAAGAAACCAGGTAGGCACTGAAATGACCGGTATTTTTTGTTATAAATATACAGTTACGCGAAGTTATTTGTCTCATTAAACTTATAAATTAACACGAATTTCACTAACCTCATTATGCCTAAAGCTAATTAAATGTATGCATTGATTGGCGAGGTATTCTCAGATCAGACATACCTGGGGCATTCCACGATAGATCGTACCACTTTTTTCCAATTTGACACCCTTATCTCTCGGAATTTGACGAGAATTGGTCTCAGGGGTAATCAGGGGCTCTGAATCCACCTGTAACAATTTCAGGCTTATCAGATAAGTATTTTTTGAGTTATGGTGTATAACATTTTTTGGATCTTGCTTTGCAGCGCTAAGTTTGGCGGGCTGTAACTCTAAGACGGATTATTCAAATGCAAAATGTTATGTAACATTGAACTTGCAATGGAACAGAGATTAATGTGTATTTTTGAAATTTCAAAAAATACGCTATTTTTGATATATGACATATCGAGTTTTCTTTCATTTGTATTTTTTGGACTTTGGGACCAATTTTTTTTTGAATTTTTATTTCTTTAAAAAAATATGTGGCTCATTGTTAAGAAGTATGCCAAAAATTAGGAAGGTGTTCTTTCTATAAATGTATTTATTTTACGTCACGATAACGGTTTCGAATAGTGATTTCGGGAGGGAGCTTATAAATGGCGTGGTAAAGCTGCCTAGTGACATCACGGGTTACTGAAATTTCAATTTAAGTCTGAGTCATCTGAAAAAGTGAAAAGAGGGTTCATCCAACCCTCTTTCCTATCAGCGCGAGGGTGAAAAAGGCTGTTTGGTTCTGACTTAGATTTGGACGCCCACGCCAATGACCATAGCTGTCCGAGATGAAAGTTACAGGACGCATACATGGTGTCCTCCAGAGGTCTCACAACTTGTATATCTGGGAATTTTTCAAGGTTACATGAGGTCAGGTCGGTCACGTGACACCACTGTTATAAATCAATGGGAAAATATAAAAACTGTTATTTTGGCGCCGAGAATGATCTAAAACTATCCCACGAACATGGTATCGTGATTTCATGCACTCCTTGCAAAGTCCAATGCTTTACTTTTGCATTGTTAACCTTGCGTGACGTCATTTATGACGTCACTAGGGTCGTACGAGTTTTTCGTCAATAACTCCTGATCAAATGGAGCTAGAGAGTCGGGAAAGCCACCAATGGACTCGGGAAGACCTTCCGAATCGAATGATATGCCATATGATACCCTTTGCCCAGCTTCGTGACCTGAGGGGTCTGACCTGACCTTGACCCGAGGTCAACTACTTAAGTTGACCTCACCCTAGCAAAAAGTATACCATTCGATGCACCTGAGCTAGGCGAACACAATGATGCCAAAATCGCGGCTCTGCGGCCATTTTTGCGAAGTTGTTTCCTAAAAACTGAACCCGTAACTTCAGTCACAAGACCTGACCTCAGACGCTACCGGTTGACCTGAGACCTTAAAATCGGGTACCAATCGCTGCGACTTGTAACGGCACACACGCTCGTTTTTTCCGCGAGGCTCTAGCTCTATTAGAAGCGAAACGGCGTGCTGGGGTCGTATCAAGTATCAACCCCTCCGAAACCCATTTTGTTTGCGAGAAAATGAGGAACTTATAGAAAGAACACCTTTCTAATTTTTTGCATGTTGATTTGCAATGACATGAAGTTTATTTTGAAAAAATAAAAATGTGAAAAATTTTGGTCCCAAAAGTCATTAAAGGCGAATGAAAAAAGATTAAGGTTTTTGCTCAACAATTGAATTTTTTTTTTGAAATTTTTAAATAGTAATATTAATTTTTGATTCATCGCAAGCTTAGTGTTGTTTACTTTTTGTTGGTTGCTTAACCCGTTCTTGAGTTATAGGCCATCAAACTCACCGTTACATACCGAAGTTAAAAAAATGTAATGCAATATAACTCAAAAAGTTTTGATCTGAGAAGTCTGATATTTTGCCAGGCGTCTTTGGGGCCTATGATTACCCCAGGGACCGATTTTCATTAAAATCTGAGAGATGAGGGTGACGGGCCTGGTACGATCTATCGTGGAATGCCCCACCTACCGATCGTCCAAATTTGTTGTGGCTTGGAACGGTCGGCAAAATAGTAGATGCACGATGAGCACTGACCTTGGTTAACCGTATCTGTAAGTGGCGTTTCTTTTTTACGCTTAAGCTTAGGCAAATTGAATAAGGCTCAGAGGTCAAAGGTCATTGGGTTAGCGCAAATAAACCATTTTGGTCGGAGATATGCAATTTACGTAAATCAACGGTGAACGGCCACATTTTTTTGCACTTATAAAACTCGCAAATTTAGTAAGCTGCCAAAAGATCCTTACCTGAAGCTTTTCCGACATCCGGTACTGACTGTCTGCTCCCACTGGATAATTCCATCGGTCTGAGCTTATAACACCGGCATCACCGTCTACCACCGATCACTACCGCTTCATATACCCGAGGCGGTCAGAACACATCACTCGAGCCCGCGTGCCAGCCGCGGCGGCGGGGCGCACATCCCGACTGACGCGCGACTCTTCCAGCGAGGACTGACCCGACCCGGTCAAGGTCAGCCGCCCCACAGCAGTAGTGGGTCAATCTGTCAGCTGTCAGCTGAGTGGGGCTGGAGGCTGTCGGTCTTTTCAAGTTAGCAGATCGTCTGAATTCTAAAATATCGGGCGGAAGTAATTGTTGTATCCTACATGTGGATACAACAGTTACTAATAAGACGATGACTCGTAGCGTAGGACGATGAATAAGCATTCCCGTAACGAAATAAAAGAGGAAGAGCACCACAGACTCATAAAAATAGCAATTGTGCCTATAGTTACATGAGAAGCGCTCATGCCTCATGAAAATAATGCCAAAGTTGTAAAATTTGCAACCAACGAAGCTTAGCGTAAGGGCTAAACCCGAAGAAGCACGTGTCATGGGACTTGCTTTTGCATTTTAAAAAAGAAAATCAAAAATGGTTGCGAGGCTAAAAAGTTATTTGCGTGGGTTAAATGAGGGTTATAATTTACGTATTTAATTTTAATAACTGACAGTGAATAAAATATGCATATAAACGTAAAACGAACGAGCGCTACGCATTATCCGCTCGAAGATATGTTCATTTAGTTCTACTTGCGAACACACAAAGTGCGATGACTTTTGTTAGTAGCTGAAATTTATGGGCGTTTTTCAAGTCTTATGTGGAGGTTTGACCTTACTTCTCTTCGGATTCAACGCTTGCAGTGGATTGAAAATTTGTCGGTGTGGAAGAAAGGCCACCGGCTCTCAGCGTTCGTCGGAGATTACCGTCTGTAGTGATAAACCTTATCGATCCATGAACGAATGAATCCCAGCACTTCTTTTCCAGCGGGGATATATACTCCCCCGTTTCGAACAATTAGAAGATCGAAATCCAAACCTACTAAGGGAGCTTCATCCTCCAAACCGTATAGATCTCAATCAACTAATGAAAACAGGTTGTACAGACAAATCTTGGATTGGAAACGCGCTGATGTAAGAACGATCTCAAGGACATCACAAGCAATCAGCACAAATCCAAACGACCTCATCAAGCAAATGCGAAGTCTCACTATCAAGGCGTCTGAATCTGCGAAAGACTGTAGGACTCAGGAGAGGGAAAAGACGCCGAAGAAAAGGACGCGTTTTGTTATAACGGATTTAAGCTCCAACAATCTTGCGAGACATGACGAAAAGTAAGTAGGTAAAAAGGCCTTAAAAAGTCAACTTGAAAATGTGACCTTTTGCAAGGGTTAAGGTTACATTATCTAAGCTAAGGTTATAACTAGGTTGAATTTTTCAAATAATCCATCGTACATTATGAGCAAAGGTCAATTCTTATCTTACTTGTGATAAAAATCATGTTCATGGAAACTTAACCTATAAACAGCATACAGTTATGACCTGACCAAAAGTACTTAATTATGTTGCATATCGATCGATTCGTATATTGCTGGGCACGCTGAACGGTCGTCTCATTTGCTCGTATTGTGAGATTTATAAGGTGAGGCCTTTTTATCGCTTTAGCATGTCTATGAAAAATAATGACCGGAAAACTGGCGGCAGCCTTTTGTGACCTCACACGACCTTTCAATTGACCACTGACAATCAAGGATCAGCTGCACCCTGTCAATTGCAAATCCGAAAATATCTTGCGATTTTGGCACGTTCGTTCTAAACAGGAGGCCTTTGTAATTTCTCCCGTTGCTTTATAACAGTGGGGTCACCGCGCGGTCATAAATCTGACCTGACCTGGGTCACAAAACTAAAACCCAAGATAAACGAAGTGTTGACGTACTTTGAACACCCAATTTGAAGCTCCTCAGAAAAGCTACCTGATTGATGCCGTCGCTAGAAATGTGTTTTAGAGATAAGGCTTACCTATGAACATGATCTGGTGCCCGACGATTAAAACCTGACTGATTAAAATTTCAATACGGGATGCAAAGCTGATGTGGCATAGGTATAAAGTTACATACTCAAAGTTTAGCGGTACTGCGTGACGCCTTTTTCTGCCATAAGGAATAACTAGAGAATGTGGTTGAAAATGCCCCCTCCCCCATCAGAATGAAGGGATCAAAGCTCCTCCACCGGTGCAGTCAAGGGGGTTGTCTGCCAGTACTAACGGTCGTTCCTCTCCAATCGGTGCAGGTTTTTCCGACCGCTGACCGGGCGGGAGAAGCAGCGTCGGATCTCCGTCTGGGTGCAGAACGTCGAGCACCAGCGGCTGGCGGCGCCCGACTCCACGGAGGCCGTCACGTGCGACACTCCAAGCACAGAGACCACCGGTCGGCTGTCTGCCTCGCTGGTCAGCCAGCACGGCTCCTCGGCGGCCACACCGACCCAGCACCAGCACCACCAGCACCAGCACCAGCGGACGGCGCCGGCACACCGACACCAGCACCACCACGGCCCCGGTCCCGCCAAACGGCCTCATGTTTGACCGGGTGAGGCTAGCACACTGAGCCTTCCCATGGAGCCTGCCCCTGCCGGGGTTCTCTGAATCAACGGCGAAAGGATTGAACGCACAGTCGGCGACGAATGACCGAACGACACGATGGTGACAACGACAATGAGGAGTAATTGCTCAGAAGGCGGCACCACGCCGCAAACGAAATGTGGTACAGCGAACCTCTAAGATGCGACTCGTATGTGACCCAAACATGATCAATAAACGAGCAAAAAACGATATTCGTTATTTTTTATCGCTCCTCATCCATCAATCAACATGTATCAACTTCCGTCTACCAGCCCCCTTTCTAGCCTCCATTTGACGGGCCGTCATGGAGGGTCGATACAGGTCAAATTTTGACCTGTATCGACCCTCCATCTGACCTATCTAACCTGTGCTGGCCTTCCGTCTGACCTGTACCGCCCCTCCATCTGGCCTTTACTGTATTGTATTGTATTGTATTGACAATTAAAACACTCTCCATATTAAAATGGCTATTCTGAGTGTCGCGTCTGAGTTAAAAGGGGAAAACGAGTTAAAATGCACCCAAATCACAGCACTCAGTAAACATATCGAACCATTCACTCATCCCTAAATACGTAAAAACCACTCGGAAACAGAGCGTTTAAAACTTCCCATAGAGAGGCTCCTAAAATCATGGGGCAGGCGATTATATAACTGGGCGATGCTGTAGAGCAGACGGCGCCTCCCTGCTTCGGTCCTCACGCGTGGGAGAGCCAGATCAGTGTCCCGCCTTGTCGAGCGTGAGCGCAGGGAAGAGTTGGTCAGGATTTGGGAGGATATAGTCTCCGGCTCCCCAGTGCAGCGTATTTTGTGAAGGAAATTGAGTGAGTGGATTTCGAACAGCTGACGGGCGGTGGGCCAACCCAGTTCCTCTCGCACGTCCGATATGTGGTCAAATTTTCTTCGGCCAGACACAACGCGCAGCGCAAAATTGATGACTTTTTGGAGACGTTGTATGTTTTTGTCCGAGCCGTTTCCGTAGACCGAGAGACAATAACGGACGTGCGAGAGGACCAAGGCGCTGACCACAGTAGGCAGGAGTTCACTAGGGATGTGGTGACGCACGTGGGACAGCCCGATGAGAATACCGTTGCATTTTTGGACGAGGGCCGATACGTGAGCGTCCCAGGTGAGGTGCTTGTCGAAAACCACGCCAAGGTTCCTCACCGTAGGGCCCTCACGGATCGTGTCCTCACGGAACCGAATCGAGATGGGATCCAAGCCACGGCAATTTTGACGAGAGCCAAACATGATGAGTTCAGTTTTGTTAGTGTTAACTTTCAAACCGTTGGTATGAAACCAGGCGTCAAATGAGTCCAAAATTTGTTCCAAAGTTGCAATGAGATGAGGGAGGGAGTCTTTTTTGCCAGATAGTAAGATTTGAGTATCGTCAGCGTACTGCACCACGTGCGCCCCAGGGGCGTAGAGGGGGAGGTCATTGGCAAATATTTGGAACAGGAGCGGACCGAGCGAAGATCCTTGGAACACGCCGATAGGATTGGGTAGAGGATCGGAGAGGACTCGATTTCCTCGCCCGTCAGCTGTGCAAACAGATTGGGTATGGCCACGGAGGTAAGAAGAAAACCAGGTCAGATCGATATAATATGTTTGAAGTTTGGACAGAAGCTTTGTGTGGTCGATCACGTCAAAGCATTTGGAGAGATCGAGGAGACAGAGGAGAGTGAGTTCCTGTCGGTCGGTGGCAGAGAGGATGTGATCGGATACGGTGGCGAGCGCGGTTTCTGTGGAGAGACAAGAGCGGAAACCGTGCTGGGATGAGGAAAACAGATGGTTGCCAGACATGTAGGTGTACAGCTGCTGCTGAGCAACTTTTTCTACAAGTTTGGCAAAGGCAGGAACAATGGAGATAGGTCGATAGTTGGATGGATCAGTAGGATCACCGGCTTTGTGGATGGGGTAGACGATGGAGTGCTTCCAGGATGCGGGAAATTCACAAGTTGTGAGACAGGTGTTGACGAAGTAAAGGAGGATGTGACTGATGGAATCGAAACAGAGGCGAAGGATCCGGATGCTGACACCGTCGGAGCCGGAGGAGGAGGAGTTTTTCATGGAAAAAAGGATGTATCGGAGGGACTGAAGGGAAATAGGTTTTAAGGAAAAGGCACAGGCACCTACCCTAGGTAGCCTGCAGGGAAGGGGGATAGGCTCCCCCCTGTCCCGGACCTCAGCCGCGACGCGAGGGCCGACCCCCACAAAAAAGCTGTTAAGTTCGTTGGGGGTGGCCTCAGGCACGATACGCTGACCCTCCATCTGACCTGTGCTGACCATCCCTCTGACCTTTACTCCATCTGACCTAAGCCCGTCCATTTGACATGACCTTAGATGACTCATCCAATTTGTCAGTCGCCATACTCGCTGCATTCCAAAGCGACCCGTGGCTCAGCTACAATCAGTGGTCTAACCGTCTGAGTCAAATAAATGACTCGATAAGTAGGGCAATAAATACCATAAATAGCATGTATTTTATCACAACATCGGGTCAAAATTGCACACAAGGGCCAACCTTTGGTAAGCTGGCCGATCGCTGTATGCCAACATTCGACATCGCTCCTGGCCGTAAGGACAAACCCTAGCGCCACCCTGCGGTCGGTTCCCGAACAATAGTTCATCCGCCTGCCGCAAGAGGCGCTGTGCGTCAGCGGAAGAGATCACAGAGACCCGAGAAGGGACGGAGCGGTCATCCTCCGCAGAATGGCGCTCACTATTCGAGCACTGATCAACGGAGGCAGCGTGATCACTACTGGGGTTCGCCCCATCGTCCACTATACACTCTTCGAGTTCCATGTCACTGACAGCGGCAGCTGGTGAGGCCAGCGGGGCCTGCTCTGCCCGGCTGGTATCACTAGCGAAGCGAGACCCACACTCTGACTCCTCCGGCGAGAACAGTGCCGGCGAGGTGACATCACACCGATTCGCAGTCGGTCGGACGGGGGTGTGCTCAGCTCGGTACAGCTCCCCCGCGTCAGGGGCACTGGCGGAAGACGCCCGGCCTCCGGGTGTACTCCGCCCGGACGAGAAGAAGCTAGTGATTGTCTTCTGGCGACTACGCTCCCAGGGGGCCAGCAGCGACGGCCGGCGGCCACTACTGCCCTGTGATGCCATCAGGGGACACCAGCACTCTGATAGTGAGCGAGCACGAGTCGCATTGAACGAGCAGCGCGCCGGGAGTCAGCTGCTCGCGGGGCAGCACGAACCCGTCACCGCAGCGACAGTCGCGCCAATAGGCGTCCAGATCCTCCCGCCAGTCGAGCTCGGAGAGCTGCAGCTCGTCCTCAACAGCGACAGAAGAGAGACGCGCTGCGGTCGCGCTCCGGTCGTATGCGGCACGTGCGGCCGGGTCACTGAGGACCCGCCAGGCGCGCTGAACGCGCTGGAACTGCTCCCCACCGCCGCCGCCGCTGCCGCCGCCCTGCTTGTCTGGGTGGGTGGCCCGCGCCAGGCTCTGGTAACACGCCTTCAGCTCCGCGTAGTCCGCGTCCGAACGAGCGCCGAGAATGCCGTACAGGTCTTCTGCTTGCGGGTCAGTCATAGATGAAACTCGTGGAGCCAAAGCACCATGTAGTCTGAAAAGTGAAAAAGGATACCTAGGTAACAATATTGTCAATATAGGGGGATTGTGCTCTGAAAGTGATGACATACGAAATAGGGTAGAATATCAAAGCGTCCCAATCGCGGTTAAAAATACTTAACATCCGAAGCATGTGCATTGTGCATCACATAGGTAACTAATCCCTACGCTATACACGTCAGTGGAAATTGCGAACAAGTTTTCAATCTTTTCTTCCTCATCTTGGTTTGCATTGGCGTCGCCAGTCGGGAAGCAGTGGCAATGCACCCTGGTCAAGCCACGGTCAAAATATATGTTCTTTCATAAAATATCCAGAAAAAAACGAACCTGCAAATGCAATATAGATCATACCTGTCCCACATCACCCACACCACTCGAAGTATATCGACGTTGACATATGACAAGTCAGCACACCACTCGGAATCATTTTGGACTCCAAGCCCACAGCAGCGCATGCCAAGCGCATGCCGCAGTTACTGACAAACTCGAACGTCGATTGTGATGCGTGATTTTTGATGATGTCAAAGGTACATAGCCAAAAGATGAGAGTTTGAAATTTTTACTGCATAGTATGACGTGACATAGACAATATCTTTAAAGTTCGACAAATATCTGATTTAGCAGAAAGTGTGTCTCTTTAAAGATTATGGATTAAATTGTTTTTTTTAATTTAAATACTTTCCAAATGCTTTCCAAAATGAAAACTGATGACGTTTTGTCAGTTCTTGTTTGTATATTTTATCCCAAACCTTGCCGACTGCGCCACTTCAAGCGCGTGACCGGCAGCCTCGGAACGTTTCGCTGATATTAAGCATTCATTTGATGTAATTTTCGGTAATTTTTAAGGGTAAAATTGCGATAAGCCGACAGGCATCCTGCATAACTTTCATCGTGACAGGTATGTATAGAGTTCACTATTTGAATTAACTTGTAATTGTCTAGCTTTCATGATTTTTGAAAAAAAGAAGATTTTGAAGTTAATTCTGGTCCAAACTCATTAATAATTTTTTAGAATACGTCTTAAGCTTTTCAGTACTTATATCAGAGTCAGATAGGCCTACATTATCTCAGACAACCTAGTCATTTTTGGTTTTGACAAATAGAATCATGTTCAATTGTGGTATAGGTACCCCAACTGTTTGCATGATACTTTGCGGCCCACACACGGCTCAAGTTGACAAATGATTATTACTGCCTGATTCAGATTGCCCATGCCATATGGGTTGTGGCATTGTGCTGAAAGTTTGTGGAGTTGTGTCATGTGTGCCGTGCTGGTATGCGTAATTGTTAATTGTAGACCATGATGGTTGCTGAATTGTACTCAGTTGGGGAAACTACGAGGCGAAGATCCAAAAATGGATCGGTCAATAAATAAACTTTTGATGACCATATATGGGCATAAATAAATGCAGCCCTTGCTACTAAGGGTTAAAAATGGTATAACGTGCCGGTACTTGTGGTATCGCCTCCACTTATCGCAAACAAAAAGCTTCCATTTTCCACTAGGAATCAACGCGATTTGATTAAATACGGCGAATTCACTCGAAAATGGCGATAGGAAAACAGCTTTTCTGCAGGTTCTGGGTGTCACAATCAGCTGGCCATTCAATAAATGGATCCAGTACTTTCTGTTCAATAAATATCATCATCATCATCATGTCAGAAGTGCAGCTTCTTATTCTTTTGTACTTTTTTAGGTTTTGCCTGGTGCAGGCTGGTGGGATTTAAAGTCTGGTTGGTGTATGCTGGTGCAGCTTTTCCAGTGTGACAATTTGACAGTGTTACCGTGCTTAGCAGTCTGTCTAAGGATGTGGCAGCTCAATTGCTTATTGGGTTTCTTTTTAATGGAATGTGATTTTTAGAATATGCTTGTAGCAGAAGCTGCTCAATTTTTTTCTTTTCCACTTGCATTCAATGTCCAAAATATAAGCTGTCTCATATTTAAATCTGATGTAAGTCAGCATTCTATGCTGGAGCCAGTGTCTGCACAGATTTGTTTGATATGAATTGAATCACATGCTCCTTAATTTTTATAGTCTGAGTCTGTCTGAGATGATCACGCTGGTGTATCATGCATCACACTTTGCACATTGTGCATCATTTTGCTCCATAATATTCACAATTTGTAGGACATTTGTGCATATTATGATGATATCCCTGAGTCACATGTAACCAAATTTAAATGCATTTTATTTTTAGTTTACTCATTACAGTAAAGATGGAATGTTTGGTTATTGTATTTTCCCCTCTATTAGCCCTGTTGAAAAACATTAAATATACCTAACAATGTGCTGCAGGCGGAGCTGCGAGAGCCTCGTGACAGTCGTGGATCTCATCGTGACCCAAGCCCACGATCTGACGTCTCGTGAAAGAGACCGTGATCAGCATCGCGCCGACCGCATAGAAAATGTGAATTTTTAACTTCTGCTTTTCAACTTGTGATACAGCACTTATTTTCACTGTAGCCTGGTGATAAAACCAACCAAAACTAACCTGTTCTTTGTGTCTTTTCAGACAGACCTGATAAGTGGGTGTGATCCGGATCGAGTGGTGCAGTTCTGAACAGACGAGTCGCCTCTACGTGGATCACCGGGCTCCGTCCGTGTGTCGACAGCGCCCTCCGCCTCTGCCGCCATGTCTGACGGCAGCGAGGACGGCGAGATCTCTGAGACGCGCGAGTTCCTTGTCGACGACGACTCGCTCGACATTAAGCCCCCGCAGAACCAGGCCGGCAGCAAGCACAAGTCACGCTCCAAGCACTCCTCGGACCACAAACGCCGCGACAAGCACAAGCACAGACGCCATGAGAGTCGCGAGAGGCGCCGCCAGCGGCGTGAACACCGCGATCGCGAGCGACGTGAGCAGCGGGACGCTCGCCGAGAGGCGGCTGAGTCTCACCGGCCGCCGGTGGACCCGTACCGCGCCCACCCGGACGACTTCCGACTACCGTCGGCGGCACACCGGCCGCCCGCCGACCCGTACGACGCGCACGAGCCGCCGCGACCGTCCCGCTCCCGCGACAGACGCGACCGGGACGGCCGCCGCGAGCGGCGAGCCGAGCGCGAGGCGCTGCAGGCCGAGCTGCGAGAGCCTCGTGATAGCCGTGGATCTCATCGTGACCCGAGCCACGACCTGACGTCTCGCGAAAGAGACCGTGATCGGCACCGTGCCGACCGACAGGAGCGAGGGGAGAGACAGGAGCGAGTCGAGAGGCTGCATGAGCGACCGGAGAGACAGGAGCGATTGGATCGGCCGGAGAGGCAGGAGCGCCCCGAGCGGCGCGACCCGCCGACGGAGGTCGACCTCCGCAGCGAGCGGCTGCTGCAGGCAGTGCGCGTCTCCGAGAAACAGAAGGAGATGTCGAAACGCGAGCTGGAAGCCCGCCGGCAGCGGAGGGAGTTGGAACGAATCCGTCAGCGGGAGGAGCGTGACATCGAGGCGAAGCGCGAGCGGGAGAGGGAGCATGGAGACGACCGGGAGGAGAGCAGGAGGAAGCGACAGCGCGCCGCTGAGACCAGGGAGGAATCCAAGGACCGGGAGGCGGAGCGTCCCCCGCGGGAAGGGCGCGAATCCCGATCACAGAAAGAGCGACCGCGGGAGGAGTCTGAGCAGGAGTCATCCGAAGAAGAAGTTGAGGAAGAGGAGGAGGACGCCGAGGAGAGCGAGGACTCGTCCTCCTCGTCGGAGGAGTCAGACGATGAGGAGGGTGAGCGTGAGGAGGGCGAGGAGGAGGACGGAGCAGCGTCCCGCTCGCCGACGCCGACCGGCCGCTGGCGCCAGATGAGCCGCTCTTCACCGGAGGCGGCCTCTCCGCGCCGCGCCGGCTCCCCGGAGGCCAGCCCGGGCCGCTCGCCGCCGCCGGAGCCGCTGACACCCTCTCCGCCCGTGTCGCCGGTGGTGACGAAGGAGGTGCTGCCGCCCTACCTGCCGGCCATCCAGGGCTGCAGGAACGTCGAGGAGTTCAACTGCCTGAACCGCATCGAGGAGGGCACCTACGGCGTGGTGTACCGAGCCATCGACAAGCGCACCAAGGAGATTGTGGCGCTGAAGCGACTCAAGATGGAGAATGAGAAGGAGGGCTTCCCCATCACGTCTCTGAGAGAGATCAACACGCTGCTGAAGGCGCAGCACGAGAACATCGTCACCGTACGCGAGATCGTGGTCGGCAGCAACATGGACAAGATCTACATCGTCATGGACTACGTAGAACACGACCTCAAGAGCCTGATGCAGACGATGAAGTCAAAGAAGCAGTCGTTTACCACGGGCGAGGTCAAGTGCCTGTTGATCCAGATGCTGCGCGCTGTGCGCCACCTTCACGACAACTGGATCCTGCACCGTGACCTGAAGACATCCAACCTTCTCCTCTCCCACAAGGGTATCCTGAAGGTGGGCGACTTTGGACTGGCGCGCGAGTACGGCTCGCCGCTGAAGCAGTACACGCCGATCGTGGTGACTTTGTGGTACCGTGCGCCGGAGCTGCTGCTCGGCTGCAAGGAGTATTCGTGCCCCATCGATATGTGGTCGGTGGGCTGCATCTTCGCCGAGCTGGTCCGCATGGAGCCCATGTTCCCGGGCAAGTCGGAGGCCGATCAGATCAATAGGATATTCAAGGAGCTCGGCACGCCTAATGAGAAGATCTGGCCGGGGTACTCGGAGCTGCCGGCCATCAAGAAGATGACGTTTTCCGAGTACCCGTACAACCAGCTGGCCAACCATCTGGCGGGCGCGTGCACAGAGAAAGGCGTCTCACTGATGAACAAGCTGCTCACTTACGACCCCAAGCGGCGCCTGACTGCCGACGAGGCGCTGGCTCACAGCTACTTTGACGAACAGCCGCGTCCCATCGAGCCGGGCATGTTCCCCACGTGGCCGGCAAAGTCCGAGATGGGTCACAAAAAGACCACATCGTCCAGCCCCAAGCCTCCGTCCGGCAGGAAAAACCTCGGTGATGACGACATGGGTTTCCAAATAGGCGCGGCGGCCGGTGCCGGCGGATTTAGTCTAAAGTTCTGAGTGTCTATGAGCGTGTCGTGATGTCGGACAATCAGACTGTCGATTTTTCGACCGGATCGTGCAGTGTGCGTGCTCAGAAGCGCTGGAACGTGAGGTGTAATGACGGAATGTGTCTTAGCGCCGGAATGGTGTGTCGATGCGGGAATGTGTGTGGTGAGACTGATACCGGTTGAATGAGCGAATCGGGTGTGCTGGAGAGTTTTGTGCCACGATAGAAACATCGAACCACCCGTGGTTGGTGGTGCGTTTGGGTGAATAGGTGCACGATGTGTTTGCGCCTCTGTTGGCTCAGAGTTAGAACCGATTACAAATGCTGCGTACCTGATGCATACATCGTGTCTCATGCGTCAGCGGTCGCCATGAAAGTCCAAAAAGCTGTTTTGGATATCCGAAATGACGTCGTTTTAGAGACGTTATGTATTGTTTTACCGATGATGTTTGGCAGCACTGTGCAGTTTCTGTACAGTGTTGAGCGCGGCAGAGGATGCTGTGCTTCCGTGCCCAGTTCTGTGTCCAGGCGTGAATTGTCATTTGTGCTTTCACGAGTCGGAATGGGGAACATTACACAGCTGTGACTGTGTAGGTCTGAAGCTGTATGCTCGGTTGCGATCTCTGAGCAGTTGGTTGTCATCACCCATCGGACGTGATGTCAATAAAGACCCGCACGTCGTTTATCTCGTTTTTGATAAGCATTGTGACTTTTTCCGAGGAGCCGAAAGGAAAATGATTTTTTTTCTGCAGTGGAATTGGAATGGTCTCTGAATTCTGATTCCTTCATTTCATGCAACAGCTCAGTCATTCGGCTATTTATTCATTCATTCATTCATTTTATGAGCATAACAGCAGCCTCTTGAACGGGCAATAGCGTGCAGGATTTTTCTCAGACAAGTTCGAGATTCTTTCAGGTCATCCCGAGGTCAATGCGCACACCGCGCCCCCACATGTTCAAGTAGTAGCTCCACCATAGATTTCTAGATGGCGCGCTAATCGTCACCGCCCGTTCTCTGGGGGCCGTGACGTCAGCAAAGTGAGCTATTGATTTGCCCGGTAGATGTCTCTAGCGTCGCGGCGCCGGCCGACGCCATCAGCTGACGGCGGCGTCAGTCGGCGAGCGGAAGCGAGGTCGGGTGGGTGCCACGGCCGCGGGTTTCGCCACTGTGTGCTCCCTGTGCTCCATTGTGCTCTGGTGACCGTCGTGTGCGCGGTGTGACGCCGAACGGTGGTGTTCCGTGATCGGATATGCTCAGCTGACCACTTACGCTGGGATTAGAAGAACGTTATCAGCATGGAGTCGGTGTTCGGTGGGCACGGTAAGTTGAGACCGTAAAACATGGCTTCATTTTGTGTTCTATGCTAACTTTACAGTGCACCGCTCTCACTGCATGCCACTGTAAATGTTCCAGTGAGTTTCGTATGTTGTGAAACGCTCCGGTTTCAGATTACGGGTTGAGCAAAAAGAGCATACTGCGGTCTGTGGGGAGACCAGAAATGCTTTAGACGAGTCATGCCCCATTCACAAAAAAATCAGTCATCTTTCGTACGTGCAGGTGTTCTATTGTATCAGCTTATCATATGCCGTCATATTCCCATACCATTGCATTTCGATCACCGATCACTCCAATGCCCGGCGTTTGACACGACTTCGAGTTTCGACCTTCACGCTGCTCCAGCCTCCAGCCCGTATGCGTCCCTCTGCTCATCTGAGCTCCTCCCCCCGCCCCCCCCCCCACGTCACTCCCGGCATGTTTTGGCCGTCGTCACCCCTCTCCGGACCCGGCGGCCCTTTGTGCTCTGGCGCGTGTGTGCGCTCTGCGAATGAATCAGTGCGGGCGCTAATGCAGCTCCCCGTACGTGACGGGGGTGCTGAGTGCCCTCAGCGCTCCTCGACAGTCCTTTACGGCGGCCGCCCCGCCCCGTGCGCCGTCCCAGCTGTCAACAACCCGCCCCACTCGGCAACAACCCGCCCAGTCACCTTCGCACTCGCTACTCCTCCCCTCTGCTCCTTCTCATCTTGGCTCTTCCCCGCCTTGCATCTCCGAGCCCGACCTCTTATCTCTGGCACTCCGTGCTGGACTGCACGCCGTTTGGTGCCTTGCTATGTCATGCCGTTGCCCTTGCCGTGTTTAGTTATGCCTTGCCGTGTCATGCCTTGCCGCTCCGTGCCGTGCCGTGCCTTACCGTGCCTTGTCGTACCGTACCGCGCCTTGCTGTGCCTTTCAATGTGTTTCGACTCTGCAGTTGAACCCTGACGGGCCACTGAGGCAGTGAGGTGTTTTTGTTCGCGCCTGGCGTAAATACCAGCGGCGCTATACCTACGTCAGAGGGTGGGGTTAGCTGCGGCGAGCCGGACCAGCGGTCTTTGTTGAGCCGCATTGTGCTGTCCGTGACTGCCGCGCTGGTGCCGGCAGACCGTGTTTTACCTGGAGGTCACGTGGCTGACCGCTTGGAGGATGGCAATGTGCCACGTGACTGGTGGATGGTTCGGTGGGGATGGGTATGGCGAAGGCATCTGTCGAGGGATGTTTTCCAGTCAATGTTTCCAGCAAGGCCGCTGTCAGCGTTGTTATGGCCCACCATCTACCAACGCCGTGTCCGCTATATGACAATGGGCCATCATAGCGCCGGGAAGCATCTCTTTACTGGCCGAAACGGCCCATTGGCTCTGCCACCCCATCACGGCTCCATGCTGGGAAATGAACCGGCGTGACCTTATCGGCCTACAATGTCACCAGCTGTCCGTATAGCAGACACAGGGACTGTTCGTTCAGCCTGCCGGGCGAATAGCTGTCTGAGACAGGGTCTTTTGACCTTCCGCGTGAATATGTCACCCGCCATGCCTCAACAGACTCCGATGTCTGTTCTCGGTCGGAGGACGCGGATCTGTTCGTAGTATGGATTATGGAAGCACGTTGGGCTGGTGGATATTCGGCGGGCCGGAAATGTCAAAGTTGGAGCGGTGTCGTCAGTTACCCACTACTGGTTTGACGGGTGTGTTCGGACAGCGGATCGTGGACGATCCGAGGGGAATGGCCGCGCGAGGGAGACGCTGTGGGCGGACAGCGTGGGTACGAAGCCATCTCCGCCCGTGGCTTGTGAAAAAAAATATTTGGGGAAACATGCGATTGATGTTTAGTCGGTCTCGGTCCTATGGCTTGTGCAAGTTGTTGAGGGAGCAGCCAAAGTGTCTCCTCAGCGTAATGCTAGTGTGACCGGTAATTCAGTCGACTTATCGACGAACTAATACTAAGAAGACTGACCTCCAGCGATCTGTTACAAGTGTCAGCCCAGCAAGCACTTCTTAGCAGTCCTGTCTGCCGGTCACCGCCGTCAGCAAAAAGTGACCTTCAGCTGCCCACCTACCGCTCCTCTCACTCTTACTTCCTGTCCTCCCCCCCTCTTCCCTTTGGCCCCGACAGCTGGCTGCCTGCCTTCAGAACGCACATGCGTCTCTAGCCGTAAGCTGACCCGGGCGACTTTCTGTAATGAGCCTGCTAAACATGCCCCGAGGGTATCGTTCGATTCTCCGGGCGGTATGGCTATTGACGAGGACGGTTGGGATCGTTAGCCCCGGAGATGTTCATTAGTTACAATTAACCGCAGTGCTCCCGCGGTGCTGCTGTTAGCCACAGTCATTAGCGGCTCGTTGCTTTGGCTTGGAAACATCCCCTGGGGGCATCGCCGGGAATCGACACCGTTTCCCTTCCCTTCTCTCCACTGTGTTTCATTACCTCCCCTATCACTGCCTCTTTACAGGTGCGTCGTACGTTTTCTAATTTTCTCTCTCCATTTTCCCTCCGTCTCACGACTGTCCCATTTCACCCTTGCCTCTCTATATCTCTCAATGTCTCCAGCTCCGCCCTTTGCCCTCGGCTGCGCCAGCGCCGGTGTCTGGTGTGCCGACGTGCGCTGGATTTATCTGTTCGGTAATGGTCAGTTACTGGCCTGGCGGCGGCCGTCCCACTCTCCTTGGGCCGTACCGGGCCGGGTCGGCGAGGCTACCACACCTGCCGGAGGCCGCGGCGAGCGTACGGGGCTCGAGACGGCGAGGAGAGGGGAGGGGAGGTGCGCTTCCTGCCGGGAGCGTGCTACCCGAGGAATGGGGAGGGTGGCGTGGGGAGGGGCTTAGGGCAATGGCCCGTGCAACGAGCGACTCGGAATGTGAGATGGTGTGTGTCGTACTGCGAGCGGAGTGGCAAGGGACTGAGTTTCGTGCAATGCTTTCGCATTTTGTTTTATTTGGGGTTCATTTAGGTGCATGTTTACATGTTATAGTGTATAGAGGACCTTTGTTCCTCCTTTTTCTGTCTTATCATTGTTCAGTACCTATTCAGTATTCATGTTCATTGTGCGGTGACGAGCATTTATGCCTTCGCTTTATCGTCACCGTGAAGATTTGACATTTTTATCACGATAACCTTGATCCAGTTTTATTTATGCGACGACTTCTGAAACTGAAGCCTCTTCCATTCGCGGCATCTGTCTAAGCTGTAAATCTTCACACGGAAAGTTTTCCCATCTCATTTGGTCTTCGCTGCGTTAAGCTGGCAGCTGCGGCGGCTGGGGGATGTTTGTTGTTCCGGCGCCGGGAGGGTAAAAACTAAAAACCGGCCGCCGGAAACGGGCCTCTACACCGGCGGCAGCCGATTCTGAACGATCCTCCGCTCCTGTCACTAAGCAAAGGGACTCACGTGTCTCTAGCTTCTCTATATTTTGGAGGTAACACTGAATCCGTGGTGAATGATATAACATTTATAGTGATCGGCTCTCATTTTGTTTCTTTTCGTTCGATTAGTCAGCGGCTAACGCCCACCATTGCGTTGATTATGAGGTCACGCGACACGCAATGGCTTGTGTGACGTCACTAACACAATGTATGGCATCTTTCGTGTGTGTTATAACGTAACTGGCACACATTATGACATCAACGGCACACATTATGACATCACGGTCCCCTGTCACGCTGTTTTGATAGTGCACGTCTAAAGGACGTTTGTCACCCTAATGCCAGTCCGCGCTCCTGCGAAGCAAGCTTTGAAAGTATCTGTAGTGTCACCCGTCACCAAAGCCAAGAAGCCCAGTAGCACGGCCCGTCTCTTTGCCCGAGGAGCAGCGGCTTGGCTTACTAAGCTGAGTCCGCCCGGCGGCTGTGGCGGCGCGATGGGACGATTACGGTGGACAAAGGCCGACGTCGCTACGATACTACAGCCAGACAATGGCGGATGGTAAACTTAGCCCTGCTGCGGAGCTAATTCTCCGGTCACTGCCCTGGTCCCACCTCGATCAGCGACGGGCTAAGATGCCAGGGAAAGACCATACGTGTGTGCCGTTGGTAGTTATGTGGTAAGCAAGCTTGTATTTGGCTAATGCTGTTTTGGTTAGCAGAATGCCACTGCCGTACTGAAGACTTCACCCCTCCCTTTCCCAACGCTCCCAGTCGCTCCTAGGCAGCCTAAACTGAAGTCTATCACTGGCACGTGGCCGGGCGGCGCTTCTGCCGGTCACGTGATCCCGTGCCGGCAGGTGACCGGCGGCTGGGGGGGGGGGGGAGGGGGCGGCAGGTGCTGGTCGTGCACCTGCCGGTCCGCTGGGACCCGTCTGCCCGTCTGCCTGTCTGTCGTCTGTCTGCCCGTCCCTGTCCTGCCCCAACCCGGCCCGGGGCGGACCCGTCCCACGGGACCGACCCGCCCGCCGATTAGGAGCTAACTGTCCGCCCCAGCGCGGACCCTTACACACGTCGCCAGGTGTTACGGTGGCCTCAGCTGCTGTGTAATGGCTTAATGGCCCGCCGGCCAACGGATCTCGCACGCCGTTTGGTCGTTTAGTACGCATGGAAACAGCTCGGCCCAAGAACATGTTGACGATTAGGGCGTGCACACCGCACAGTCGTCGGGCACAGTGAAATTGTTATTACTTGTTATCAATAACAAACCTCGACCTTAACGTGTCGCATGATACGTTGCACCTCTTCTGATGACCAATTATTATTTTTGACGCCCTTCATTCATATGGTGCTGCGATGCCTCACCAACATTTGTATAATTGTTAATTAATCAAAACTGATTATTGGTCTAGCGTACCGTTCGACATAGACAGGCTCATTAACCGACTACTTCGGTAGCTGCAGTGCTGGTGCGTAGCTCAAGTGTGTTCTTTGAGTGTGCTCACATTGCAATTTGCTGAGCCGAGCAGTGCCTTGTCTGGCTCGCCAGATATCGGCCACTTGCGTCTGTTGTGTCTGGTGTGAGGTCGACCGGCAAGTCACCGGTCAATGGCTGGTCGGTCGTGGTGACCTGACCTTTGGCTGTTGTGT